CACCCAACCCAGCGCTCACAACAAAGGCGAGTGACTGCGTGGGAGAAGCGGGACGTGCTGAGCACCATCCTCGGCCGGGAAGAAGCAGGCGGTGCTTGTAGCTGCTCTGGGGTCTGGGTTAGGTGTGAAGACTGGTCCTCAGGGAGGGGACAGGCAATAGTAGTCCCTGCCGGGGTTCCCTTGGCTGGCGAGCTAAGCTGGTTGTGTGGGTCTCCCTCCCTGCTGGAGTCCAGCCCCAGGCGCCCACCCTGCCTTTCTTTCCTGTCTCAGGGGCCAGCGTTATCAGTACCCGATGTTCCGAGACCTACGAGACCAAGACGGCCCTCCTCAGCCTCTTCGGCATCCCCCTGTGGTACCAATCCCAGTCTCCCCGAGTCATTCTCCAGGTGGGGGCCCTGAGCACACCGAGTCGCCTGCGTAGCTGGGTGACCGTCCCCTCCTGGGTCATTGAGAGCTGCGCCCAGGGCGGGTTGTCTTTGTCACCTACCATGTGCTGACCCGACGTTCTTCCCTTCCAGCCAGACGTGCACCCAGGCAACTGCTGGGCCTTCCAGGGGCCCCAGGGCTTTGCTGTGGTTCGCCTTTCTGCCCGCATCCGCCCCACTGCTGTCACCTTAGAGCATGTGCCCAAATCCTTGTCACCCAACAGCACCATCTCCAGTGCCCCCAAGGACTTTGCCGTCTTTGTGAGTATCCCACCTGGGGGCTAGAGGGGCTGTAAGAGGGCCCTGTGGGTCTCTATTGAGGATAGAGTTGGGATCGTTCTTTGGTTGAGGGGAAGGGAATAGATATGGAAGAGACGGCGCCAAGGTGGGAAACAGCACTTCGGTCTCAGTTATCTCGGGCTGCGGAGGAAGAAACGGAGGCCTAATGAGTTAAGTGACTTGTCACAGATCACACAGCGACCCTGTGTCCAGAGCTCAGGCCCCCTGCAGTCCCCGAGGAGGCTGGTGCCTGCCCCACTGGGTGGGAGGGGACCAGTGGGGAAATGGGAGGGAAGGCCTTCCTCCCTGGGGGCCCGTGTCTAAGAGCAGGCTCTTCCCTCCATCCTTTGCTCTCTCTTCAGGGTTTCGATGAAGACCTGCAGCAGGAGGGGATGCTCCTTGGCCAGTTCACCTATGACCAGGATGGGGAGCCCATTCAGACGTTTTATTTTCAGGTATGGGATTCTGTTCTGCTGGCAGAGGCATATATATGTACTTTCCCACCCATTCAGCAGATGTTTTCTGAGTACTTGTCCTGTGCCAGGCACTGGGGGTTCCAAGTGAGAAGTCACAGCCTAGCCCACCCACAGCCCGAGGTACGGAACAGAGACCACTGTCCCTGTGGCGTGGGAGAGGCGCCAAGTGCACATCAGCGCAGGGGAGGGGGAGGGGCCCTCCCAGATGGGCAGTGCTGGGGAGCTGCCTGCAGAGGGCAGGTATCCGAGTGAATGTGGCCCAGCTGGGCCTCGCAGAGCACAGCGTGGCTGGGCCACTGCTGGGGGGCTCCTGCCTCAACTTGAGTGGGCATCGGTCTCCTAGGCCCTTGTTAGAAATAGATCCCCAGTCTCCAGCCCAGGTGAGTCTCTGGTAGGTGGCCTGAGAGCCACACCAGGGGAGTCCTAGTGTGAGGAAGTGGGTGAGGTGGAGAAGGGACAGAGGGGGGGAGAGAGGCAGGCCTGGCTACCAGGCAGAGAGTTTCAGCCCTCAGCTGAAAATGAGGGTACGACACAGAGGACTGATGGGAACTTGAGAAAGAAAAGAAATTCTGCTTAATTCACAGTGAAGGAATTCTCTTTCAACATCGACATACATCAAACGCTCCATAAAGGTAGTTCTGTTCATGGTCAAAGATAGCTCCTGTGAGGTTTTCCCAGTTTGAGATGAATCATGCGGGGGCTCGGTTACAAGGCCGTTTTTATGTGGCCGTGGGCTGGGCCTGGCGCAGCCTGACGTGCGTTGGCGGCCCCTGTGGGACCTCTGAAGCCTGTGGGGCTCCTTGGCCCACCAGGTGGAAACTGTTCCAGGGTCTGAAGACAGGAGCTTTGAAGTCCGGTTCTCTACAGAGGCCCGGGGGAGGGGGCGTCTGGCCCTAGGTGTGGCCGTCTCCCCTCCGGTCTGAGGACTCCCACCCCTGCCTTCTCTCCCCAGGGCCCTAAAATGGCCACGTACCCGGTGGTGGAGCTGCGGATCTTGACTAACTGGGGCCACCCCGAGTACACCTGCATCTACCGCTTCAGGGTGCATGGGGAACCCACCCACTAGGCCTTCTCTGTGCCGCCGCCGCCGCCAGCGGGGAGGCCAGCTCCTCTCGGCACGTGCCCCCTGCTCTGGGGGTGGCTGCGCAGCACCCCCGCCTCTGCCCCCGCACGCTTGAAGCGCACTGACTTCCGGGAGCGGGCAAGAAGAGCCCCTGGCCCAGCGGAGGTGAGAAGGAACGCGCAGGCTCTTCCTGAGCGCCGGGTGGCTCCAGCGGTCAGCAGGCTCCGGCGTCGCTTTTCCTTCTTTGTTCTCTGCGCACCGGGCACTGGGCGTCTTCTTCTCCCTCCTGCGAGGGTGTATATATGTAGCATGTTGTGGGAAATCGAGGCAGGGAGAGACGGGATGAGTGCCCATGTTCCGGCAAAGGTGGATGAGACCCGCCTGCCCCTTGCCTGTGTGCAGGGGCTGGCACCCAGGGAGCTGCATAAATGAAGCAGGTGCCAAAGCCGTGGGTGAAACAGGCTAGGGCCTGGGGCAGCTGAGCTGTACCCCCTCCCTAGGCAGAGAAGTGAGGTCCTCTGGGAGGAGGGTGCAGGCTGGGACTGGTCCCCAGGCAGGAAGCTCCTGGGAGAAGGCAGCTGGGCTCCTCCAGAAAGCTAGTGCTGTCAGCCTAGGCCCACAGCATTCCTGAAGGGCTTCTATACACTGTATTTGTCCTGGGTCAGGGTGGGCCATGGGGCTTCTTGTACCCTGGAGGATCTGGCTCCTGGGAGCCTGAGGGTTACTGCTTCTGTGGCCCAGTAGGAGTCCCCTCTGCTAGGGACAGTAGTTGCTTTCTCTCTCCTGATGCTGGGACTGCGGCCCACTCTGCTCCCCACTCCTTGCTAGGGCCCACCTGTGCCCCAGCGCAAGCTTGCTGCATTCCCCCAGGGTGCCCAGACCTGTCCTTCGAGGCCATAAACATCTGGGGTCAGCTAGAAGTGTTCAGGGGACTCCCTGGGCTCTTGTGGTGGCCCAGCGATACCGTGACTGACAGTGACACTCAGGGTGCCACGGCGGGAGGAGGTCTGTCTGCACTGTTGGCCCTACCCCACCCCTATCAGGCCGCTGATGTAAGAGGCCCCCTAACCCTAAGCCACCCCCGGGGGCTCTCTCAGCTCATGCTCAATTCTGTTTCTATTCTGACTCATTTTCTATGGGGGACAGTCAGGGGTGGGGGGCTGGGTTAGGAGGGGGGGGCTGAGGTGGGAGCTTTTGGACCCAGCAAGCCCTGCTCTATTATGTACGTATTTTTCAAGGTCTGTTTTTTAACTGAAAAGCTAAGGGCTTGATTCCTAGCCCCGTTCTGTGGGGCCTCGGGTGAGTTCAGGTCCTTGTAACCTGGCTGCCAAGAGGGGCTTGGGGCACTGGTTCCAACTCTGTGGTTCGTTCCGGCCCGCGGGGAGGGGGCAGGAAAGGCTGCTGTGCAGGTGGGTGCCCTGAATGGAGGATGGAGCTGGAACGAAGGCGAGGCCCCAGCCATCCTGTGATCGGTCCTCTGGCACTGGCCCTGCCTCCAGACAACCAGGTTTTGTTTTGCGCTCTCCTGTCACAAATGCTGCACTATTGGTTCTTAATTTTGTATCTCCAGATTCTAATTTATGCCTATGCAAAAAATAAACTATGCCCAGGATTAGGGGAGTGTGTGGTTTTTATCTGGCTATTGCACGGGGCCCTGCACTTAGCCAAAACAGTGCCCCAAAGGCTTCCTCCTAAGCTTTAGAAACCCAGGCTTCTCGGCTAAAACTCAGCTGTGATGGGAGATGGGACCTGAGGCAGGCCCTGTGCCTGTGACTCTGGGCTCAAAGGCTGGCAGGAGAAAGTGAGTGGCTTTATTAGCCATCACTGATGTCCCAGTCCCACTGTGAAGCAGGAGGCTTGTCCTGCGTCTCTCAGTGCCACTGGAGCAGAGAGTAGAAATTACCCACTTTACTACTGAGCTCGTCCGCCGTCAGTGCCGCAGTCCCCCTCCGTGGGAATTAAACCCTTGTCCCTTGTACCTGTGTTGGGATGGCACGAGGTTGGTCCCCTGAAGAGCCAGAATCTTGCCAGTTCCAGGGAGCAGGTCCTGGCCCTTCCCTGCAAATATCTCCCCAGATTCAGTGCCTCCAATGAGCAGCTCCAAGGGCCAGGGGTGGTTGCCCAGCTGGACTCTCAACACACGCCTCTCATCCTGACCATGGCACCTGGCCCAGGGAGGGGCCCAATCACAGCTGAGAAAATAAAGGCAGGAACAGGTCAGTAGGCAGGAGCTGGGGGATAAACTGCTGCAGGAGATGGTGCTGGGTGGAAGGCAAAGCCAGGCCCAAGGCTTCGGGCCAGTTACTCAAGCCCTCAGTTCTCTCTCTGCATGAGGAAAAAGCTAGTACTATGGCTCGCCCCTCAGCGACTGCTCGCCTCATCACCTCCTATTTCATTCACACTTGCACTGCATTTAACACCATTTTTCAACAAAGGTCGTGACATCCCTGAGCGGCATTAGTAAACGCATCCCTGGAACCTACCGCACACCGTCAGGGCTCAGGGCCTCTGTTCGTGCCCTCTGGGGCCTGTCTGCACACGTCCAAATCTTAAGAGGCCCTCATGGCACAACCCTCGCACCGTCTTTTCTATGGTCCATCCCGTGACCCCAATCAAACCTGCGCTTCCCCTGCACCATGGCACATTTCCTGTGGCTTATTCTGTGCTGGGGAGGCCGATAAGCCAGAACAGTGGGCCTGGCTGAATTAAAGATGCCACACGTGTTAGCTGCGTTACAAAAGGGTCAGGATTTGCCATTTGAGGTGACTGCATTAACAGCTTTATTCTTCATCAACAACAAAAGGGCTGGTGTTTTGTTCCAAATAGATAGCTGGTAGGGCTGAGACCCATATGGGACCGTTGTAGTCCCAGCTAACGACGATAAAATGCTGCAGTCAGCTCCCTGGCCAGCAGGTGTGGGCCTGGTGACCACAGAGATCAGAATGACCTGAGTGTTGGAAGGCAGAGGCCAGGGTGGAGGCCACAGCTGCAAAATGTAAAGGAAGTGGTTATGCTCACAGCGGCAGGAGAGTTCCAACAAAACGTGGTTCTGCCTGTTCCAAGGTCCCCCATGGCCAAGTCCTGTGGAAACACAAATTCCACAGCACCCACCGTGGGGACAGAGAGCACAGGGTGCTGCTCAAGGCTGGAACTCCTATTACAAAGGCACCTCTGGGCAACGGCCCCTGTAAGCAGAACCAGAGTCAAAATTCAAGAGGGGAACAGCCAGCAGACAATGGAACTAGGACAGGCTGAAGGACACCGCTGGAGTGGGTGACTGGAATGACTGGGGGCTGGGGGCACCGTTCCCCTGAGCTCCAGTGTCCTTAACCAGAAAAACGTAACTACCGCCACCTCCCTCATAGCCGCGAACATCAAAGAACATGAAGCGAGGGAAATGCCTGGCACAGCCCCAGCTGAACAGCAGAGACGTGTCCACGGCACATTTCTCCTTTTGAGCCTGTTGCCCAGCTTGCGGCCTCTGCCATGGACGTGGGAGCCGGCGTGGGTGGTAAGCAGTGTGATGACCATTATTCACCGGGTACCGCCCACGTGCTGGGCACATCAGGGCCTCACACACATTCTCTCGCTGAATCCTCGCAACAACCTGACGTAGGCATTTACCTCTTGCCGTGGATGAGGAAACTGAGGTTCAGAGGATGGCAACTTGTCCTGTGTCACAGCTGGCGGAGGAGTCTGCATTTTGAAGCCATGCCTGCCTGACAGGAGAAGCTGGGCCCCTCCCGGCCCGGCCTGCAGCCGGGGGCTCTAGGGCAGGCAGAGCAACGGAGTTCCCCGTGGCCGCACCTCCACCTGGAGGGGCTGGGCAGGGAACAGGACACCGTCAACTTGGAACAAACTTTTATTTTGTGTGCTGGTTTGGTCGGTCCATGGCCACAGGTCAGTGGTAACTAGAAACAGTCAGGAGGAGAGGGGAGGGGAGCAGCAGTCCGGAAGCAGGAGTGGCGGCGAAGGGTTGGGGATGGAAGGGAGGCGAGGCTGAGGAAGGACCCCAGCCAGCTGGGTGTCCCAGGCTAGAGAAAGAACATATCTCTGCCCATCGGTCCACCCTAAAGAGAGGGCTTCAGTCCACAGCTCCGAGCAGGCTGGTTTGGGGCCCATGCTACCACCTCTGGCCTGGGCAACACCACCCCCACCCCGGCAACGATTCTTCCAAAGGGCTTAATGCTCTGAGCTGGGTCTGGAAGAATCTTTTTTACTACCTCCTACCTGCTCTCCCTGTACCCCAGTTGGAGCTTCCAAATCTGGGGCTCAGGCCCTTCACTGCTGGGCTCCTGTAGCAGCCATGCTGGGGCGATGTGGCAGGGAAGGAGGGGTTCCAGTCCCGGCCTGGCTCAGAGGAACACCTGGCACCCCCGCCAACAGGAGGTGCTGTTGACTGTGACCCTGAGCAGGCGGACCCCAGGCCCACTCATCAGTGCCCTGAGGCCCAACAAGAATCAGAGTCAAAGTCCAAGCAGGAGGCGGCCCCAGGGCAAGGTGAGAGCCCCAGCTCGGCAGACTCAGCAGAAGAGGAGCCACCCCAGCCAGCCAGGCAAACAAAGGATTGTCTCCAAGGGGAAAGAAGAGCCACAGCTGTCTTCAGGTCAGTGGCAAGGTCAGAGGGGCAAGGAGGGTCCTACAACTCAGTCACCAACACCCTCCACACGTCTACAGTTACAGCCTAAGAGCTTTTGGCATTACCTGTTTGGGGGTTTAAGGGAAACGAGGGAGAAAGAGAAAAGGGGGACCACCGCTCTCCACTCTGCTGAGATCCCCAAGTCGCAGAAGGACGGCCCCCTGCTCTGGACGTCCCTCAGCCTGGAGGCGGCTCCGTGGCGGGGCTCCAGGCGCACTGGAGAGTGAGCACAGGGAAGGAGGGCGCGCTTCGGCTCCTGACAGCCCTGAAAGGTTCTCACAGAGACACACGAACGCACGGACAGACAGGCAGCCAACTAGCTCCTGGAGGCTGGTGGCCAGCCACGGAGGAGAAAGGGGAAAGACTGCCAGGCCCTGACCGGCCGTACTCCTGCACCTCACACGCCCACACACACGCACACGCACACTAGATAGATAGATAATAAAAAGAATAAAAACTAAGGGCCCAGATGTACAAAAAAGGTGTGAGTGAGGAAGAAGGTGGGGAAGAGAGTTGGAGATGGTCAGTCCTCCAGAAGTCTGGCCACCTTCCTCAGCTTATAAATTACAACCCCCTGGAAAACGGGGGTGGGGGGAATGACGAGGCTCCGGGTGCGGCCTGGGGGAGGGCGAGCGGTGGTCAGAGTTGCTCTGGCCCATCTGGCGGAGTGGTGGCCAGAGAACGAGGATGCCTTGGGTGGTGGAGGTGGGCTGGGGGAGATTCAGCAGCCGCTGGCGGGAGTCAGGCAGGCCCCCTGGGACTTCACCTTGTGACGCTGGCCCCCCCGTCGCCGGCCCCCGCTGCCGGGCTTGGGCTGAAAGAGAGAAGAAGGAGCTTGAGAAGCAGTGGCCCATCGGGAGCAGGGCAGGACAGGACAGCAGAGGGGCAGCGGGGAGCGGGGGCAGGAGGTGAGCGAGCAGCCATCTGCTACGCCCTCCACCAGATGGAGCCGGCGCCCACCCTGCCTTCCTCGCAGCTGATGGGTCACAGGTGATCCCGGTGTGAGAGGAGCCGTTCAGAGAAGCACACAGTGAGCAGGAACTAACGTGTGCCACTGCTGGCAGGTGGGAAGAAAAAAGAAATGAAGGAGTCAGAGGAAAGACTCGACGGGGAGGGAGAGCGGAAAGGACAGGTCCAGGCAGAAGCTTCCTTCTCCGAAGAGGAGTCGGACGAAGAGACGCTGGAAAGGGGCGATGTGAGGGCCACCAGGAGAGGACTCCAGGGGACAATGCTGGCAGGAGGTGCCGAGTGAGAGCCACACTGACAGGGCCCAAGACCACCTACCCCTAAGGAAATGTCACGTCGGGGAAGGGGCCAGGAGGACCCTCTAAGGCAGCGTCTTTCAGACGTTTGGGCTGCAGTACGTACATACATCACTTGCACTCACACACACAATGCTCACTCTTACTATGACAGGGAAACGCTGACATTTTTTCTATTCTCTTTCATTAAAACTAAATGCTGGTCAGGACCCATTAAGTTCATTTCATGTACGCCACATCTCAGTTTGAAAAACACTGCCTTGAGAGACAAAAAGCTCACACTTAGATAGCACTTAGGGACCTGGAGTTGTGGGAAACACCCATCTAGGAACTCAAAGACGTGGCAGACTGGTGAAGGCTGCCGGCACTCTCCTATGGGTCACCTCCGCGGCCACGCCCCCGCCCCCACCCCGCCCGAGGCCGTCAGGGGCCCAGGACCAGCCTGGGAAGCACACTCACCTGTGGCTGGAGACTGCCGAACGCAGCTGGCTGCGCAGCCGCTAGAGAGCAAGCTTCATCTCCAGTTGGGGGTGCCCCTACTGCTGGCCCTCCAGAGGGACCTCCCTCTTCTCGTTTGGGCAGGGGACCCTTTTTCGTCGATTGCATTTTAATCTGCTGGGGCTTGGAGTTCATTGGGGAATTGTTGGTGGTCTGGAGGAGCTGCAGGAGCCAAGGGGGTGGGGGATGAGACAGAGCTGCAGGCAGTGACCTGGGCTCAGCTGCCCCCGCCCCGCCCCTCAGGTCTCAGGGACCTCTCACTCCGTGGCCTGGCTGGGCCTGGGCGAGGTGGGTGGCAGGAGGGCGATGACAGGGCAGTGGGGTGGAGAGATGTCCTCTCCACTCAGCGTGCCAGGGCCGATGTCTCACCTGCCTCAGCCCAGCCCAGAAGGGTTCCAGCCTGTTCCCTGCCCCAGCTACTCTTCCCACAGACAATCTGTGAACCTCAGCCATCTCCTACTCAGCCCAGCTCCCAGGCTGGGGTCCAGCCTGCCCAGAGCATCAACTCTATCTCTTGCTGCCCCTGTAACAAGAGCCTGGGGTAAGTTTTAATTTTGGGCCTGCCAGAGAGATCAAGTGAGTGTCTCAGGAGCTGGAAACATTTGGAGTGTGGCCATCAAAAATCTTAAGAGCTACCACCCAGGAAGGACTGACTCAGAGCCTTCCCTTATGGCCCAAGTTCAACCTCACACAAAGCAGCGAACAGGCCCAGCCGCATCCCCAAGGGCATCACAGCACATGCGGGCAGCTTCTGCCAAACCCTCAGCCAGCCCGAAGCAAGGGGACTTCCGAGGATGACCCTCCCCACTCAACACACTCTACAGTCTTAGTGACGTGGATGGGCCTAAGGAAGGCCATTCTGGAGGAGAAGCAAGCCTGAGGCTGATTCCAAGATCTCAGACAGGATGTATGGAGCAGGGGTCAAACCACTCTATCAAGTGCCGCTACTCAAGGCCATGGACGAAGTCTGCAGAGGGCATAAGGTGCGCTCCAGGACACAAAGAGCTCAAGCCCATGCCCCACTGCTATCCAGCACTCACTCCAACTGGACCCACTGCTCTAAGGGCACGGCCCCAGCCAGACCACCGGAGCATGTGCCCAGCATCTCAGAGGCCAACACTGGCTAGGCCCAGACATTCTCCCACCACGGACTGCCATACCTCAACTCCACCTTCTCTCCTCCATGGTCACTACCAAAGCGCAGAAAGGATGTCTAGGGAAACCTCTGAGGAGAGCAGAGAAGATGGCACTAAGGCTATACCTCGGCGCTGTTCCAGTTCTCCCAAGGTAGGGACTGGTGCCTCTGCCCCTGGCAGTCAGTAAGATTTCTCAGGGCTTCTTGAGCAGAGCGTGCTGTGCTCACAGTCTAGAACTGGAGCAGTCCCTGGCACTTCTTGTAGGCAGGCAAGGTGGTCTGCCCGGCCGTACCTTAGTGATGGTGCCTACAGCCTTGGTGCGGCCTTCCCGGAACACCAGCCGCTGGTCTATGTGCAGGTACTCGGGGGTCTTGATAAAGCGGAAATGCACGGTGGCCTTGTCCCCGGTGCGCAGACAGTCCTTGTCCATGCTCAGGATGGTGGCTGTCTGCCTGATGCTCCCACAGTGCACTGCCAAGGGAGCCAGGAAGTCAGGAGAGGCCTGAGCCACTCAGTGGCCTCAGGGCAGGGGAGGCAGTGGGTGAAAGCATGAAACAAGCTCGAGCTGTGGCAGGCTGAAGACCTCAGAGGGCAGAGTGAGGCTAAGCGACTGGAGGCCCGTTCTTGGATTGATCCTGCCTCACATTCTCCCACTTTTCCCTCCAGTTAGACCTCGCTTGTCCCCAGACCCACTTGTCCCTAGTTCCTGAACACAGGGCACTCTGTTTGCATGTGGGCCTTCTCTGGACTGTGGGCTTCTTGATGGCAGGGCCCTTGCCCATCTTGTCTTTGTCCCCAGCACCTTGGCAACACCGCCTGGCACACTGCAGCACTTGGTAGATGTCTGCCGAAGGACTGAGTGTGAGGTCCTTGAGGGGAGGTCTGGGTTTCCAGAGCCCAGCACCGAGCTGGTACTTGGTTAGTGTTTGCAAGAATGAATAAACCACAAGCCACAGCTCGTGGGTGGAACAGAGGGGATGGCATCACTGAACAGGGCAGCGACCTGACTTTTGGCTGCAGCTGAAACTTTGGGGTTTGGGTTGCTGGAGCACACTGTAGGGGGAACTAGAGCAGGGGGCTTCAGGCTGGCAGTGCCTTTAGACACCTACCCATGGCCTGGTACCGCGGGCTGATTGTGGTGGGGTGGTGAAGGACAAGGATCTCGGCCTCGAACTCCCAGGATGCTTGGGGATTCAAGCGTGGAGAAACCATCACCATGCCCTTCCGGATGGACGAGCGCTTGATCTGAATGAGAGAGAATCCCAGACCTCAGGGACAATAATGCCTTCTGGCTTCACCCCCTGGTCACAGAGGACCAGGACTCCTTCTTGGAACTGCTACCACCCCAACTTGGCCGTGACCTCTCACTGCACTGGACCACAGGCCTTCTTTAGTGCTACATGGAAAGCCTCAACACTGCTATTGGGGGGTCAGGAAAGACTTCATACAGAAAGTGGCATTTTAGCTAGGACTTGCGAGACGGGTCGGAATTAAGTGGGTGGCGAGAGGGCAAAGGCAGGCAAGCACTCAGGTAGGAGAAACAGGGCGAGCGTGATCTGGCTGTTGGGAAGCCCACAGAAAACCCGGCTTTGCTGGTTAACTTGGCTGGTGCAAATGACCCAGGAGCTAGCACTGACCCCAATCCCCAGGAGACTGAAAGCTGAATGGCAAGAGGATCTGGCATGGACTCAACAGCCCCGCGTAGAAGGACCCCAGCAAGAAGGAAGCGCAGGAAGGCTCCCAGCTGCCCTCACCAAGCTCAGGAGGCCGGCAGGCCTAGGTTTAAGTCCCGGTGTTCTCCCCGGATGCTGGGCAAGTCACTCAGGCTCTCCTGAGCCTCAGTTTCCTCATCTGTAAAAGTGAGGTCAGTAATCCCTGCCTCGCAGAGCGGCTGTGAGGACTGGAGATGACCCGGAGCCTAGCATAACACGGAGCCCGAGGGGAGTTCTTGGTTTTATCAACACTCACCTTCTTCAGTGCGAAGGAGGCCGTCTGGCCCCCCCGCACCTCCTTGACAGGCATGCGCTTGCGATGGATCGATTTGACAGCAATGGACAGGAAGTTACCCAAAGGATCTGGGCCCAGCAGCAGCGTGTCATTCAGCTTGATCAGGCCCCTCAGTGTTGTCCCCGACACCACTGTTCCCACACCCTGCAGACAAGACCCCGGTCCAGTAAGTCCACTGGCACTACAGACTCGCCCCGGCACCCCTGTAGGAAGCGCCACTCAGCCTCCCGCCTTATTCAGTCCACCAGAACCCACTCACCGGGACAGAGTAGGTGTCGTCAATCTGAAACTCAGCAGGCTCTTCCTCCCGGTAACTGGTGCGAGGGGAGAGCAGGTTGAGGAACATCTTCAGCAGATCTAGGTTCTCGCCTGTAACGTTGGAGATTTGGAATATCGGGCACATCCTAAGGTGGGGAGTGTGTGGAGAGAGAGGAAGAAGGCGCTCAGGTGGCGAACTCCTGCCTGATAGGGGATGAGCAGCACGAGGGCTCCTGGAATGGCTGCTGCTGCTAAGGGTCCCACCACCCCTTCACTGGGCTCCCAGGCCCTCTGCCCAGCCCACCTACTTCTGTCCAGACCTGCTCTGAGGCCTCCTCCTCCTCCTATGTAGTTTTGTCTCTGAAACCTGTCCCCTCCTCTCTGTCTCGGTACCACTACCCTATTTCGAGCGATCATGACTGCCTCTTCTTCCTAAAGCACATACATCCTTAAAACCTTAACCAACTCTCCACTGCAGAAAAGACAGCTGGAATCCCTCCTCCCAACATCTCTGCCAGTTTATTTCTCTCAAATTCCTATATTCCAGCCAGACCAGAGAACACTCCCTCCCTTCTCCTAAGACCTTGGTACTTTTTTGTTCCCATGTACTTGTTCACTCTGAATTGTTCACCCCCTGCCTGAATTCCTTCCCTCTTATCCAACTACCAAATCCTCTCATCCTTCAGAGCCCATTTCCAGCACCGCCTCTTCTAGGGAATCCTTCCCAGATGGGCACTCTTCATTCCCTCTGAGTTTTCAAAGAACTTTTTTTTTTTTGGTAAATTTTATTGAAGTATAGTTGATTTACAACGTTGTGTTAATTTCTGCTATACAGCAAAGTGACTCAGTTATACACATATATATATTCTTTTTCATATTCTTTTCCATTATGGTTTGTCACAGGATATATATATATTTTAATTTATTTATTTTTGGCTGTGCTGGATCTTCGTTGCTGCGCATGGCCTTTCTCTAGTTGCGGAGAGTGGGGGCTACTCTTCGTTGCGGTGCGTGGGCTTCTCGTTGTGGAGCATGCGCTAGAGCACAGGCTCAGTAGTTGTGGCACATGGGCTCAGGAGTTGTGGCTCACGAGCTCTAGAGTGCAGGCTCAGTAGTTGTGGCACACGGGCTTAGTTGCTCTGCGGCATGTGGGATCTTCCGGGAGCAGGGCTCGAACCCGTATTCCCTGCATTGGCAGGTGGATTCTTTTTTTTTTTAAATAAATTTATTTATTTATTTTTGGCTGTGTTGGGTCTTCATTTCTGTGCGAAGGCTTTCTCCAGTTGTGGCGAGCGGGGGCCACTCTTCATCGCGGTGCACGGGCCTCTCACTGTTGTGGCCTCTCCCGTTGCGGAGCACAGGCTCCGGACGCGCAGGCCCAGTGGCCACAGCTCACGGGCCCAGCCGCTCTGCGGCATGTGAGATCCTCCCGGACCAGGGCACGAACCCATGCCCCCGGCATCGGCAGGCGGACTCTCAACCACTGCGCCACTGGGGAAGCCCCCTACTTTTAGTTTTTTGAGGAACTGTTTTCCATAGTGGCTGCACCAATTTACATTCCCACAAACAGTGTAAGAGGGTTCCTTTTTCTCCACACCCTCTTTAGCATTTATTCGTAGACTTTTTAATGATGGCCATTCTGACTGGTGTGAGGTGGTACCTCATTGTACTTTTGATTTGCATTTCTCTAATAACTAATGATGTTGAGCAACACTGCATGTGCCTATTGGCTATCTGTATGTCTTGGGAGAACTTTTTGTGTCTCTGTTACACGTGACTACATCTGATTTTCTGTCTGTTATCTGAATGGCCTCCATATCTCCTATTCACGATTAGTCAAACTCCTCAAGATCAGGAATTATATATTTCCCACAGCTCCTAGAGTAGGGACAGCACAGAATAGGCACTCAACAAAATGAAACGAATTGAAATGGGGTCGACTGAAACGTACCCCCTCTGCTGGCCAACTGCTGGTACTGAAGACAGCGTCAGGGCAGAGACATAGGCCAAAATGTCAGGCTGCTCCGGGTCCTGTACTTAAGCAGCCCCAAGACTCTGGGAGAAGGAGCAGTGTTAACAAAATTTACTATTATCAAGAGATTATCTCTGACCAAGGAGCCGACCACCTTGAGGACAAGGACTATGCCCAAGTCAACTCTGACTCCTCAATGCCTAGATGAAAAGCCCAGCACAGAACAAACACCCAATAAATATTTATGGAGTCAGGGAATTTCCTGGCAGTCCAGTGGTTAGGACGCGGCGCTTTCACTACTGAGGGCCCAGGTTCGATCCCCGGTCAGGGAACTAGCATCCTACAAGCCGCGCGGCACGGCCAAAAAAAAAAATTTTATGGAATCAAAGGGCATGCTAATGAGTAAATGCCAAAACTGATCTGTGATTAGAGAGCTTTTGAGAAACAACCGTGTAAAAAAATTAATAATAACCATTCTAAAAATGGCTGTGTATCTATCACACAGCAGCCAGGCACGGTGCTAAGTGCTTTACATACATCATTTCCAACACTTACAAGAGCCCTATGAAGAAGGTAGTATTATTCCCATTTCACAGATAAGGACACTGAAATATCAGCTGGGATTCCAACCTCAGTGAGACCAGTACCTCAGAATCTGGGTCACCTGATACAGCCCCCGAGCAACATTGCTGAGAGCACAATCTTCTATTTCAACCAATTTCTGTGCCTGTGCAGAAATGAATGCTCCCAGGACTTCCCTGGTGGACCAGTGGCTAAGACTTCATGCACCCAATGCAGGGGCCCGGGTTCGATCCCCGGTCAGGGAACTGGATCCCACATGCCGCAACTGAGAGTTCGCATGCCACAACTAAAGATCCCGCGTGCCACGATGAAGATCCCACGTGCCGCAACTAAGACCCGGCGCAGCCAAACAAATAAATAAATATTTAAAAATACATAAATAAATCAAAGGAAGAAGTGAATGCTCCCTACCCATTACCTCTCAGAGCTGAAGTTGGAGGCTGTAACAATCACATCATCCTTGCTCTGCACCAACACAGGGATCTTGCGGCAGCCGGGTGACTTCAGCAGGCGCTGTAACAGCTTCAAGGTTTCTTAAAGGGTAAAATGGAACAAAATTAGGGGAACATAGCCTTCTCTTTGGCCAGGCTTCTAGGGCAAGACAGGTCCACTCATCACTGATGCAAGCAGGAGACAAATAGATGGACAGTGTTAAATGCCATAATGCCTGGAGAAGCAAAAGGAGGATCAAAACTTTGGGTGGGTAAGTGCTTGCTAGAGTAGAAGGAGAGTACAGATGGGGACTGTCTGCTAAGGTTGTAAGTCTGAAACCTGTCAGGTTTCTCCAGGGTCTCCAGAAGACCTGCATCCTATAAGCAAGTGATTTGGGGTCCACCAGAAGGACAATGTTGTTCTTAGAATGCCCTGCTTCCTGGAAAAAAAGTTCATCTGACAAAAGGATCTCTAGGACATTTAGACACCTGTAGAAGTCCTTATGAGGCCCTCCAAAAGGATATGTCTTCACTTCTCTTCCACCATCTTTAGCAACGGGGGAGAGATGCATGAAAGCCTAGTCTTGCAACACTGTTTTGAAACCTTTGGTGGTAAAAGGTAATCAGACTCTCTGCCCAAATGTCTCCATGTATGTCCAGCTTAGATGGTAAAACCCAACCCCTTCTGCCTGGAACCATCTGAAAAGAGATGCCAGATTAGGGATTTCAGGGACCTTGAATTTGTAACCAGAAGGAACAATGAGCAGGAGATAACTCTAAGCTCTGCTCAGACCAAGAGGCAAACAGGGAGAAAGCAAAAGATTCTGGGTTGATGGACATTCAGGCCAAGGTCTAAGCACAATACAAGGAAACAGAAAATTCCGGGTAGCAGATCACCAAGGAGCCACAGTGCGTGACTGCCCCAAACAGAGAGACTGCTACTGGCTGTTGGCTTCACTTACCTTGCAGGATGTTGGCAGGACACATGTCAATCTTGGTGACCACCACAAAGACAGGCACATTGAGTGCCAATGCCAAGCCCAGGTGCTCCTTTGTCATCCCCACGATGCCAGCATTGCTGCCCACCTGCCCCAACACAGAAAGAACTGTCAGGACAAGGGAGACAGAGATTGCTGCTGGGTGGGCACAGGGGCTCAAAGAAGGCTGAGGTAAGAGAGAACTCCCATCTCTGAGGCCACCATCAGAACAGGACACAGGGGGCACAAGTCTTAGGCCAGAAACAAAATGGCTGTAGATGAAAGCTGGGCTGGGCACAGATTGCTTTAACCTCCAATTTAACAGTGTGGGCTATCAAAATCTGAGGAGACTTCGAAACAATAAAAAAGACAAACAGTCTGGGAAAACAAAGTCACCAAAGTGGATTCAGTTTAACATCCCTGGCCCCCAGTTACCCCATCTATAAAATGGGGGATAATAATATTCACTTTAGAGGGTCACTTAGGTTTAAATGACCAAACATATGTCAAAGGTCCAGCACACAACTAGCACGAATTAGGTATTCAAGCAATGGCAGGGACTTCCCTGGTGGCGCAGTGGTTGGGAATCTGTCTGACAATGCAAGGGACACGGGTTCGAGCCCTGGTCCAGAAAGATCCCACATGCCGCAGAGTGGCTAGGCCCCGGTGCCACAGCTACTGAGCCTGTGCTCTGGAGCCCGCGAGCCACAACTACTGAGGCCTGTGCACCTAGAGCTCGTGCTCCGCAACAAGAGAGGCCACCGCAATGAGAAGCCCATGCACCGTGACAAAGAGTACTGCCCATGTGCAGCAGTAAAGACACAGTGCAGCCAAATAAATAAATATAAATAAATTTATTTTTTAAAAAAAGCAATGGCAGCTGTTACTACTGTTACCATTCCTTCCTGTAACAATGAATGTTTTAAAATATCATCATAAAGGCTGGTTAAATAAATTAGAGACATGCACAAGTGTGCGATACAAAAGAAAGAGGAAACTCTTAACTGATGTGGGGTAATCTCTAAGATATGTTTTAATGGGAAAGAGCAAGGTGGTATACAGCATGCTATCACAAAGAGTGGTGATTGGATCACCGTTTGAAAAAAGCAGCTGGAAGACATTTGGGGGAACATCTGAGATAACATACATACTTTTAGACTAGATATTGTATGATATTAGGGAACTCTTGTTCGTCTTCTTGGTTGCAATAACAGTAGGAAGCTGTGTGCTAAAGTATTTTAGGAGCTGTGTGCTGAAGTATTTGGGGTGAAGAGTCACAGTGTCTATAATATAATCTACTTTCAAATGATTCAGCCAAAAAACCAACCAACCAAAAAAACAAAAACAAACAAAAAGAAAACAAAAACCATACACACACACAGAAAAACTCCACATATGCATCTATCACATGTACAGATAAATATGGCAAAATGTTAATGATTGTTGACTCCGAGTGGTGGGTTTATGGTACTCCTTGTACTATTCTTTCAACTTTTCTGAATGTCTGAAATTGGAGGGAGAGAATATACACATATATGCTGGGTGATTACAAAATATCTCTAGAGGATACATAAGAAACTGGAAGTACTGGTTGCCTGTGGAGGAAACAACACAGGCGGAAGAGAGGCTTTAAGTCCTTTGGTACCTTTTAATTTTTGTACCATATGAATGTATTACTTACTAAAACAAAATAAAATTAAAATTAAAATCGCCAAGACATATTTATACAGGGCTTTATACATTCCAGAGGGACTTCCCTGGTGATCCAGTGGTAAAGTCCCCTTCCAAGGCAGGGAACGCAGGTTCGATCCCTCATTGGGAAACTAAGATCCCACATGCCGCGAGGTAACTAAGCCCGCGTGCCACAAGTACTGAGCCTGTGCGCCTCAACTAGACAGCCCACGTGCTGCAAACTACAGAGCCCATGCACTCTGGAACCCGTGCACCGCAACTAGAGAGAGAAAACACACACACTACAACTAGAGAGAAGCCTGCATGCTGCAACGAAGCACCAGCGCGCCGCAGCAAAAGATCCTGCGTGCTGCAACTAAGACCCACCACAGCCAAAAATAATAAATAAATAAATAAATAAAATATACATTCCAGTGTCTTCAAGCGATGCTCTCATTTGATCATTATGATTCCCAGGTGAGCTACCACCTCACCAGCACAGATGTCCCACGCATGTTCCCTTTTCCTACACCGAGACACTTCCACCATTTCCCTCCTAATTCTTCCCATTCCCTCCAACCACCTTTCCTAACCAACCCAGACCTGCTTTTGTTCTTCCCAAGCAGGATAACAGAATGATCTCTCTCTCTGTTGTCTATATTTTCAAGGTTTTTTTGTTTTTGTTTTTCTGGAAATTGATTGCCATGGAACAATAATGAAATATTTCATTGTTTTCCACAGAAATTTTTAGTATTTAGCTCATGGCCTAAAAGTCAGATAATACGTAACATTTCGTCTGGGGTGAAGATATGTCCGTTAATTGACCTTGATCACTGTAGCTCAGTTAGAAAAACGCTCAGGTTAAACTGATTTCTACACCCTTCTTAATCTCAACCCAACAACTGCCCCAAATACACCCTATGGCTCTTCCTTCGAAACCCTTTTGTAGAGTGGCTTTCCTCAGCCAGTCAAGGTGGTAAGGGCCCCTTGCAACGTTCAAAGATATGGGAGATAAAACCACAATGAGATTGCAAGAACCTCGGGCAGAGAGCTGACAAGAGTGTTCATACATATGCTCTGCCTCTCTTTACTCTCTGGTCTGGGGAGAATTTGCCTGGAAACCTCTGTTTGTGGGGCAACTTGATCAAGTTTGCTCTGAATAGATGTTGGCATTTACTACACTTATTAATACAGACAGCTGGAGGAACTGGGAAATGGGGAAGGGTTTTAAGAAGGATTTTTGCCAAAGGAAAACTCGCTCGCTCGCACTCTCTGTGAAAGCTGTGAAGTTGTGACCAAGGCCGTGGGCCTCACAGACTCCTACTCTCTGGCCAGGAAGATCAAAGGGGCCCAAATGCGAGCTTCGAAACATGATCCAGCCCAGAAGCCTCTGCTCCCTTCCCCTTTCAGTTCACCTACATGATGAGCTGCTTAAAAATCTATTTCCCACGAGACTGTAAGCTCTATGGGAGCTCGGGACACCCTCTTCACTGCTCTGTCTTCAGGCCTGGCACAGTGATAGGCATGCAGAAGCTTCTCAGCAAATAGCTGTGGGACTGGTTGACACTGGTTCCAGGCTTCAGAAGAGGCCACCTCTCAGGCCCCTCAACGGCTATCTGCACTCTCCCCCATTTCCTTCCCAGGCCGCCCCATCTCTGAGGGTGCTGCCTGGTATCATCTCAAAGTAGCCCAACTCCAGGAGGAAACACTTCTGAAGGTAATAAGAAATGCCCCAGGAGAAACCCTCCCTTACCCCTCTCCGAAAAATAAGAGAGGTCTGCAAATGGCACCTTGGTTTCTGCTTAGAGGACCTCCTCCTGGCCTAAGCTAGGAGAAGGATCATGGTACGCTCCTTGAGAAGGCGGGGCACCCCTGCAAAACTTGTCGTTCTTACCCAATTTCAAAGCCCTGAACCAAAAGGCCCTGTCTCAGAACAATGTCAAACACCTGCATATCACCACAGCCCCGGAGCCCAGCTGCAGCCCCCGCTCCTCGGCAGCACCCCACTTACCATGAGCATGCAGAAGTCGGGTAAATGGCCGGTCATGCCGAAGACCGTGGTCTTCAGGTACTTCTCATGGCCGGCCAAGTCGATGAACGTAATCACCTTAGTGGATTTCTCACAGATCCTTGTCCACTCCAGGCTGCCACCATGGCTGTCTGGCTTGTTTACCACATTGCCTTCACTGTCAAAGCCCAGAATGTCGTTGCCCACACTGCTGGTGCGACCAGATTCAATCTCGTGTTTGTGGCGGAAGAGTTTCTGGCGGGCGAAGCCTCGGCCATTGTCCAGCTCCCCGTGGGTCAGGACCCCCAGAAGCGTGCTTTTGCCGGCATCCACGTTGCCTACTACCGCTACCCTGTGTGAACACAAACCCATACGTTTGTGTGAGAGTTGGTGAGTGAGTGAAGTGGACCTCCGCAACCGGATCCATAAGGACAGGCTTGCCCCTGAGCCTCTCCAGCTCTCTGCCCCTTCATGGATGAGCACATTAGGAATGCTCTTGGAGCTGTATCCAGGGAGTAGAAAGTTACTCAGGAGGAACTGAGTTCCCACCACAATGACTTTCTCCCTTAACTTCCACTAGCTTTCCCAAAGCTGCCAGACAGAAGCCCTAAAGCCAAGAGAGGTACAAAATGCTCTCCTCCGTTACCCTGGTTTCAAGCCTCCCGGCCTGATGGGAAAGCAAATGCAGCCCACAAAATGGCCACAGAACATATGGTTGGCCTCTCTCCCACTCTCTCCAAATGGAAATATTTAGGGATGAGGGAGTGCAGAAACAGAGAATGGAGCTATCGGTGTCTCTGGACACTCTTTCCATGCCTCAGGAAGCGAAAGGGTGTACCCGACACGCCAGGTGTCAAAGGCTCAATCACCGTTCTGTGTGAAGCCCTAGACCCCAGGGTCATGCTTCAGGGGACCTGGAACTGTTCTGAAGCCTCCTCACCTGACTTCCAGGAAGTCATTGTCTCCTACTCGTTTCCGGACCAGGTAATCACGCACACGGCCCCCAGCTTCTTGACGTTCCCGGAGGAGGATGACATCGGCCTCTATTTGTTCTGCCATGCTCTTCACCGTGGCATAGGAGGCCTCCATGTCAGCTTCACTCAGCCCGTACTCAGTCCCATCTGGTGACAAGGGCCCAGACGTCAGCCTGCCATCAAGTCTGCCAGTCAGCCACCCCTCACAAGGTCCCACCCTGGGCACTGACGAATATGGCTCTCTCTACCAGATACTTCAAAAATTTGCGCACAAGTAAAGTTAATAAATAATAGGCTTCTCCATTAAGCAGGGCATTCATTAATTCATTCAACAGTAATCACAGAGACTCTCCTAGGTTTTATGCCAAGTCTCAGGCCGGGTACTGGGAATACAGGTGCCCTTAGCGAGCTCACAGCCCAGCGGGGAGAGACAGGAAATTAATTAATTGCAATACAGCTTGAGTGCTTTACTACAGAGCTGTACAAAGAGAATGTAAAGCACGAGCAACTAGCATTGCCTGGGGAAGCTGAGGACAGCTTTGCAGGGAGCTGACTCCAAGCTGCGTCTCCAAACATGAAAAATGGGCCTGCGGAGAAAGGAGGAAAGACATCCTAGGCAGCAGAGCAAAGCACGGAGCACGGCAGATCATGGCACGTTCAGGGACCAGTAAGCAGCTCGGCGCGTTGGGGAGCAGGGTGTCAAGTGGCAGGAGACCACATGAGAGGCAGAAACAGTTAGGCAGACGAACATCACACAGCAGCAAAACACATATGTACCAGGGTGGGAAGCCTTGGGGTTACACAGGGGAGTAACAAGATCAGATCGCTGTGGGACAGAAAGATCTCTTGAGCAGCAGTGTAAAGTGAGCGCTGGCAAGCGAGAGACCAGAAACGGGGAGCCCAGTTAGGAAGTAATTCTAATAATCCAGGCAAGAGATAATGACAGGAGACAAAGGAAAATGGAGAGAGAATTTAAGAATGAGTTTAGGGACAGATTTTTAACAGAGGTGGCTCAGGTGAAATGTCCAGCAAGTAGCTGGAAAAAATGAGTCTCAGCTTAGGGTGAGGAAGGACGGACCAATCAACCACTAATTTCTTGAATGCCTACTGTATGACAGTCCCGGGCAGGTACTGTCCACATGGTGCCATATTTCATTCCCACAGTAGAATGACAGCTCCTCCAGCTGTCTCCTGGGAGCACCCCTCTCCTTCCCTGGGCTCATGTGCCCAACCTCTTTTCTTTTCTGCCTCCAAAGACCTTGCAGCACCTTCTCTCACCCCCTTCCACTTCTCCCCCTACAAACAAGCTCAAGGCTTTCCTAAACTAAAGGAGACCCAACCCCTCTTCCCTTGCCCCAGCTTATCTACCGAGCTACCATCTCCTCCAAGCATCTCCAGAGTAATGGACACTTGTTGACTTTATTTCCTCACCACCTTCTCACTGATCTGATGACTATGGAAAAAACTGGTTTTCAAGTCATCAGTGGCGTTCTGCCCACTCATCCAATGCCCTTTCCTCGACCCCGTCACAGTCAACACTGCTGGCAACAGTCCCTTTGTTTACTGAGGCACTTCATTCCCGCCCGGCTTGCCTAGAGCCCAAACTCTTCTGATTCACCTCCTGGCCCTCTGGGTCTTCCTTCTGTCTCCTCTGCAGGCTATTCCTGCTGCTGTCCCCAGATGCCGTCTTTTTCAGTAGTCAGTCAGTGGCCTTCTTCTCTATCCTTGAAACATTCCCCTTGGCCTTCTCATTCTATGGGTTCAACTGTCATTCTGAAAACTATGAAAACATTCATATCTAGTCATTCTTCCCAGAGCTCCATCCACACCCTTTTTAAACAACAGCACAAAAACTAACACCATTAATAAAGCATTTTAGTCCTCCCTGCAACCCCATTAGTTAGGCATTACTGTTCCCATTTAATAGTGGGGAAACAGAACCTAGAGGTCTCTGTGCTGAGAGGGAGCAGAGGGGCCGTGTGAGCCTGGGTCTTCTGATTCCAAACCTAGAGGCTTTTCCTCTGGCAAGGGCTCCTCTTAGTGCCAGACCAGTTCCTCCTCTTGCCTTACCTATTTCTAATGACACCACTATCCTTCCAGTCACCCCAGCTTAACACTCATCACTCCAGTCCTGCCCCTTTCCTTGTCCCTGCTCTCCTCTTTTTGCCAATCCAATGCCACCAGCCTGATTTAGGCCATTATTCTACCTGAATCGCCACAAGAGATCCTTAACTGGTCTTAGCAAATCCAGTCTCTGTTTCTGCCAACCCATCCTGCATAGACATACAAGCTCAAGGTCCTAAAGAATGCACAGCTCTGACGTTGTCACTTCCGAGTCAAAGCCTTGGAAGGGCTCCCCAGGCCCAGCAGCGCTCAGTTCCAATTCCTTAGAGGCTTCCATCCCCCTCCCCCGCCCTCCCCTTCTAAGCTTTGTTCCAGTGCAGGTGGCCGAGTCACCATCCCTCCATGTCTCTGCACTCTTCTAGCTCTATACCTTTGCTCATGTATTTCCTGCCCTAGAAAGCCAATCAGCCTATCTCCACTTGTCAAAATCCTACCCATTCTGCTCCCTTATGAAGTTTACCATATGGAATAGAGTTTTGGATGTGTGTCTTCCCCTGCTATACACAAGCATCTCGAGGACAAGGGCCATATCTCAAACATTCCTGGACGCTCCATGGGGGTGCCTTTCCTATACCAACTCCTCAAACGTTTGTAAAATGCAAAACAAATGAACAAAGAGGATGCAGTTGAGCCAAGGAGTTTCTTTTTCTTTTTCTTTTTTTGGCTGCGCCGCATGGCACGCAGGATCTTAGTTCCCCAACCAGGGATCGAACCCATGCCCCCTGCAGTGGAAGCACAGAGTCTTAACCACTGGGCCTCCAGGGAAGTCCTGCAAGGAGTTTCTAAATGCATGGCCAACTGCGCTCTGGAAATATTCTGGGTTAGAGAAGGTCTCGGAAGCATCCCTAAGAGAAGGCCAGCTAACCCTGCCACTCTTGCCAGACCCCCAAATTCTATCCAACCTTTCCTGTTTCTGGTACAATGAGAAGCTTTCAGATCCTACCCCACACCAGCAGGCAATCACCAGTGTCACCTCATCCATCCAGGGCTCCCAGAAATGCACCCAGTCACATTACCCTTCTCCAGCACGCTCTATACTCCTCACTCTGTAGGAGTGGAAACAAAGGCCAAGGAGAAAAGCCGCAGAGGTCCAATTACTAAAGGCCACATATTCAGCCATGCAGGAACCTAATCAGATCTCAGTCCTGCCACTGACTTACCTTTCTTATATGTACTCTCCTGCTCAACATAATGCAAAGGCTCCCCAAAATTTTAGGATAAAAGTCTAAACGCTTTGGTATGGCATTCAAAGACCCTCAGATCTGGGCCCTGACTACCTGTCCAGTCTCCCCTCCTGACACTCCCAACCTCACATTCTACATTTCCTACTTTACTGAATCACTCCTGGTCCACCAAATACTCCACACTCATCAATGCCTCCATGCCTCTGTGCTTGTGGCTTTCTCTGCTCACTCACTACTGTCTCCACTCACCTAGAAAACTCCTACTCATGCTTTAGAATTCACTGAAGGGGCACCTCCTCCTTTGGAAAGACTTTTAAGTCTTTTCTGACCCTCCCACAAAGATGTAACACTCCTCCCATGCTCCCTAAACTCTTAATGCAGTACCTGGGTCTTAGAAAGTCACGGTTTAATATGTGAAGAATGAACAAGGCTCTTTTTGAAAGAAATCTCATGGTAAATCATCTATAACCTGGAACCCTTAAAAAATTACTACTGCAACTATTAATACTAGCTAACATTTATATAGTGCTTACTATATGCCAAGTGTTAATCTTCACCATGCCACCATGGACTAGATTCTATTATTATCCCCATTTTAAGACAAGGAAAAGAATCAGGCAAACTTAGACCCACCAGGTTCCAGACCCTGAACTAACTGCTAGGTCACATTGCCTCCTTTTAAAGTATCAACCGTAACTTAAGAATGTATACTTAGGGACTTCCCTGGTGGTCCAGTGGTTAAGACTCTGTGCTTCCAACGCAAGGGGTGTGGGTTCAATCTCTGGTCAGGGAACTAAGATCCCACATGCTGCACGGCGTGGCCAAAAAAAATAATAATAATAAGAGAAAAAAAGAATGTATACTTAAAGAGCACATTCCTCCACCCTGCTTCGAATTTTTTTAAAGTCTAATTTATCCCTACAAAACTTGCCTCAGGTTGTGGGGGCAGTGGTGGTACCATCCGCCCGATTTTATAGATGAAGGAAGCGTCAAACAGAGGGCAAGCACCAAGCACACACAGAAAGTCAGGGATCAAGCTGACCCAGGGGGCCTCGCATCTCTTTTAGTCTTCTGCTTGATCTTCAACTTGTTTAATTACAATCTCTTTCTGCCCCTAAAGAATTCCAGCAGGAAGGAGTCACTATGACTCTAACAGCATCCAATTAGTAGATGCAAAGATAATGCTTGGGTGTGTAAAATACGTGTTAATGAATGTTTGCCATCTTGTTATGCTGTGCCACAGGAGGGTTAATTAACTGTAAGCCACCAAGGTATGGTAAAGTTCAGTAAGAGTCCACATTAAAGAATAAGCAAAGAGTAGGGGCTTTAAGAATCTGGGTCTGCAAAGAACAGTCCCAACGCTTGTCAGAACTGATCTAGATGTGGTTTCTTCAATTCTATAAGCTGGAAGTGACCTTTGAGTGGTTCATCCTATTACAGGAGGCCAGGTGTGCACCTGACCCCAAAGCTTTCAAAAGCCTACCAATGATCCCCCTAGTCACCAAATGGAATGGCCTTTTCTGAACCTGACTCTCCCTGCTGTCTCTGTAACACTTGACAATGCTGGCCAACTCCCTCTCTTTCGTTCTTTTCTTTCTTTCTTTCTTTTTTTGCGGTAAGCGGGCCTCTCACTGTTGTGGCCTCTCCCGTTGCGGAGCACAGGCTCCGGACACGCAGGCTCAGCGGCCATGGCTCACGGGCCATGTGGGATCTTCCCGGACCGGGGCATGAACCCGTGTCCCCTGCATCGGCAGGCAGACTCTCAACTACTGCGCCACCAGGGAAGCCCCTCCCTCTCTTTCTTGACAGAACCTCTTGGTTTGCCTATCTCTCTGACCATGCCTTCTTTAAGGTGGTAACACCTAAAACTGGGGAGGTGGCAGTAAATACAGAAAGGAAAGGATAGATATGAGAAACATTTCAAAGGAAGGCAGAGCAATATTTGGAGATCAAACCCTTCTTCCTTGTGTCATTCTTGCAGCATTTCCAAATATTGTTTTCTACTGAGGTTAACTATGTATATGCCATCTCTCCTTCTTGGGACAGAGACCAGATTTTAAGTATCTAAAAGTGCTTTGCAACAGTATCAAGACCTTCTAAGATACTTAATAGATATCTGTCAAATAGTTCAAGACAGATTTTGAGACTTCCTCCATCTTAGACTCAAACTACAAAAGAATTATTACCTGCCTTTACAAAACGTACATTCAGCAAAGAGAACTAGTCCCTTAATGATGCATCGAGGCCTACTTAGGCTTCTTGTAAAGATGACAGAGATAAGATCTGGTACAGGCTAAATTCATAATTATTAAACAAGTCCAGCTGCCATTTCAGCAAAGATAATGTCTTAATGAAGATGAGAGTAAGCAGGCTTTGTATTGAGGATATAAAGTAGGAATGACCAGGGGGAAAAAAGCCCAGGATATAATCTGGGATTCTGTCATGGGGGCTGCCTTCCTCTAAAACAATGGGCCCCATTACAATGGAATAAGGGGCTGGGAGGACAATAACAAGTCCCTTCCAGAATGGCAACAAGCCTACATGTCTGATGGGATCTCACACGGAGAAAAGAGGACCTCTGTTATCACAGCTATCCCCACCGAATGGTCAGTATGGTCCAGGGCAAGGCAGCCTTGCTGAAGAGAGGAATTCTGGATGTCCTTTCCTTGTTGACATCAAGAAGTATCACAGGGGTTCTCTGCTAAGCAGGCAATAAGTAGCAATGGGATCTGCAAATCAGGCTTGGAGGGGAAGACTTAGAGCTGCCTAGGGAAGGCTTAATTCTAGACCTAACTGTGACTTACTCTATCACCTCGGACAAGAAGTTTCCTTGCTTTGTGCTTCATCTCCTCTTATGCAAATGTAGGGTACTGGCGGTAGAAAAGCAGCATCTGTAAAACCGCTTGGAAAGTGAATTTTTAAAAAAGTAAAGTGAAAGGAAAACTATGCTCACCTGATCCCTGCCCAATGACATATATGGTCTCTCCGCATCCCTCGTCCATCCTCTCCCACATTTGCCGAAGTAGGCTGTCATACTGCTCTGATGTAGGGCTCACTAGAACCAGCTAGAAGAGAAACCAACAGCCTTAGGACCACACTTACTAGAAGAACACCACAGCCAAAGCAGATCAAGAGCCTGACCAAAGACCCTGACTGAACCCCACAGCACCCTGATCTAAAAGAGCTGGGCAGTCCTCTCATGCCCTCTCTGCCTCTCCTTAAATAGCCTTTGAGCCCAAGGCCTTATGAGAGTTGAGTTATATGAAGTACTGAAATGAGTATGTCTGAACCACAACCCACAGAAAAGAGGGTGTGAGCAGCCTGCCTCCTGCTGCTTAACGGGAGGGGCAGGATCCACAATGACTGAGAATCTGGCATTGTAGGTAGAAATTAAATGAGTAGTGCTTTACACCTACATGCCAAAGTCTTCTACCTGCAGCTTGCAACTCACAGAGATCTCCATCCAAGGCCAATGGTTCCCATAATAACATAAGAAGTCTGTTCCAACTTGCCTTGGCTATCTCGATTATTTAGGAATCGGCAGTAAAAACTGCTGCAAGACTCATCTTTATCAACAAAACACATTACCCCTAAGATGGGTATTAGCACCGTCATTTTGTGAATTTCTGCCAATAACATTAAAATATCAACCACTTATCTGAGGAGGCCATTTACCAACAGGCATGTCAGATCCCATTCTCTAACCACTCATGTGTGACCTTGGACAAAGAACTTAACCTCTGAGTCTCACTTTTTTAATCTAAAACATGGAGATACTACTACCTACATCCTAAGGCCACTGTAAAGACCAAATAAGATAACATGTAAAGCATCCAGTCCACAGCTCAATAAGTGGTAATTAATTTTCTTCACCCAATCATCCTAGAAAAATCTTCCTGGATGAAACTAGCCACCGCAGTTCACTAACTGCTTCTCCTTTTGGAAGCTCTCAGAGCCTTATGTCCATCCCCACATTTAATTGTAGCAAGTATATAAACTTATAGCTTCTAATCTTTTCCTCAGGAATCAATCTGTTCAACCCCTCTATTCTCTCCCTTCACATCAGTTTTTCTTTTCAATATCATCAGTATTAATCTACATATAGCTTCTCAACTTTAAAATACTGAGAAGGACTTCCCCAGCTACGTGATGAAGGAACACTTCCCTATCCTGGAACATTAAATAAGTCGGTCAGGAAGTAGAGGTACTGCTCTCTGCAACTCTGCCCTGCAATTTCCCACTGCTTTCAGGCTTCTTCAGCACCTTGGCCATGAATTGACATCTAGCTCATCTGCTTGAGTCAAGTGTATCTCTTGCAATTTCCTGAGTTGACTCCTCAGAGCTTCTGCTTTGAACCTGGGTGCTGGGACGTGTGCATCGTGTCCCATTACCTCACACATTTCCCCTGACCATCCTCTCTGAACTTGGCCAGCCTCGTTATGGCATTAGAGGCACCAGACAGGACCACTGTGACAAGGTGCAGTACCGGCTTCTAAGTGCTCAGCAGAGACTAGAGGGAGAGATCAATTAGCTGCAAGGTAAAGTTCTCTCCTGTTTGGACCAAGTTTCATGCAATTTTGCCACCACAGACTAGAAAGTCACAAATGTTTTCAAAAGTCGTTAAACTTCTCTACCGTAAGTACTCAACAACAGGTAGGAGGCGGTATCGGTGCTCTATCCTGCGTCAGCTGCTACTTAATCTGCACAGGGAATTATCAGTTTATTCAGTTCACTTCAAACATTTACTGAGTAGTATGTAACCGGCAGTATAGTAGGTTTCTTACATACAGTTCTCGTTTTCACAATGCATCTGTACTAAAAAGATGATGGAGCCGGAGAACTGAGAGGTTAAGAAACTTTCCCAAGGTCACAGAGCCTTTTTAACTGGCAGGGCAGGAAAGGGAACCCAGCCCTGTCTGACCCCCAAGTTGGCATTCTTTCCTTTAGCAATGTTAGGCACCTTCGAAACACCAGTCCCAAATTATACTTAATTTTTTATTCCTCCCACCCCCAACGCCAAGCAGAAGATGAGCCCTTAAATCCTGCCCACCTTCTCAAGAGCTCAGAAGACACGACTTAAATCGTCCTTCATTATTCCAGTCAAACAACATAAAGTCCCACTCCCAGAATGGCGAAATGATGGGTCACTGCCCATCTTTCACTTCTGTTTTGGGTGGGTTTGTAAAGTAGACATTCTTCAGACGTCCTTCTCCCGGACTGAGCGACTACTTAATGTTTCCTCTCCCAACACCAGGAAGAGCCGCAGCTGACTCCCTGCTCCCCCCTCGGACTACATGATCCTCCCGCGCGCCCTGCCCAAGCCACCTCCGACCCTAGGCTGCCGTGGACAGTCCACGGGGAGAGCCACTCTCGATCACAGGGGAGGCGGCACCGCGTGGGGACGACCACTGCGCGAGTAGCTGCCGGCGTCCGGCGCCCGCGTTCCACGTGGCGGAGGCGAGGGGTTGTGATCTCGGCGGGAGCCGGACGGCGGGAGGCCGGGTGGGCGCCGCCGGGGAAGGACAGCGGTGCGGCCGGCCGCCGGAGCCGCCCCTCACCGGGGAGCCCGCCGCGCGTCCCGCACTTACAGGTGGGTGGGCTCGACCCCTCCTGCCCCCGCCGTCGCCCCGGAGACTGCGCGGCCCCACCACCCGGTACCCCTCGGTGCCCGGACGGTCCCCTCAGCGCCGGCGCCGGCGCCCGGGCCTACCTTGCTGGTGAGGTCCAGCTCCGGTTCGCCGTTGAGCGCCTCGCCGTCCTCGCTGCAGTCCGAGTCGAAGCCGCCGTGGAGCCGGGCGGCAGCCGCCGCGGCCCTTGCCGCCCCCGGAGAGCTGGGCTCGGGGGCGAACATAGAGGCAGGGACCGGCGAGTCCATCGGGAAGCGACTCCGCTCCGCCGCCATCTTTAATAACTTAGGCTAATTCGTAACCGGCCTCCCCTCCCTCCCCATCTCATTTGCCTAATCTATGCGCAGCCCCGCCCCAAACCTTATCAGAATAATTTATGCGAAATTTCTCCAGCCGCGTAGAGGATGACACGTATCTCTAGCTAAGAAACAAACGACCAGGCCTCTCAGCCACCAATCGCTGCAGCTCTTTCAAGTACCTAATGAATAATTAATGAGACCCAAAGCCCAACAACAAATGTCTGAGACGTCACGCGCCTTGATCGTAACTTGGGAGGGACAGCACCGTGTCCACGCTACCTGCCAGGAGCCTTCCCGCCAATGGGAGCAGAGCAGAGCACGACTGACACAGCAGCCATACAATGAGAGAAATACACACAACGCTTACCTTCACCGCCCATCACTCTCCTTGTTTTCAGAGGCAGTGCTCAGCTTCCAAATCCTGCTGTTAGGCAGTCGGGGGCGGAGAGCCTTCCGATGATAGACAGGTGAAAGGCCCAATCCAGTCTTCGGACAAGTCCCGCGCCTCGGGCCACCGCCCACGGAGATAGTAAACTGCGCAAGGCGCCTCCCACTCAACTCAGTGACTCCGGGCAGTCACTGAAGACTGATTTTCGACCTGCTGGCAGCCTCCAGGCAATTTTAACACTAGGATCGATGTCTGGAATACTACGGCAGCCAGAGCGCGGCAATTAACTGAACGCTGACCTTAGGGAGAATTCTCCATTCATTGCCTCTGCGGAGAGAGCAGTTACACGACCAAAATGAGGCAACTAGCTCAATAGAAGCCAAAAGTACCTCAACACATTTGTGAACTGTAAGGCCGAGATCTAGAGTCTGTTAAGGTAGTTTCCTATGGATGATTCTTTCTGTGTCATCAGCTGTGTAAAACCCAACCCAAAACACTATCAACAGAAGTTTTACTGTCTTGAATTCCTCTTCCAAAAAACTGAAGAGCTTGATGAAATTAGGGATTAGTCAAACTCTAATAATGCTGGCCATGGCCACTCGTTCCAGGCAGCAAGCAAGAAAGAGCAGCCATTTCAGAAGATAACATACCCAGATTTAGGGGTTTGGAACACAAGATTTTGTGAGCAAGAGGCAGGGTTCCAAAGAGCCTTCAGTTTCAGGGATCTACTTGAGAGTTAAGAGGCAACTTCTTGTTCCTGTTTGCAACTACGATCAAATCTTTTTTTTTTTTTTTTTTTAATATTTGTCTGCACCGCGTCTTAGTTCAATGGTACGCGGGATCTTAGTTGCCGCATGCGGGATCTAGTTCCCCGACCAGGGATTGAACCCAGGCCCCCTGCACTGGGAGCCTGGAGTCTTAACCACTGGGCCACCAGGGAAGTCCCCAATCAAATTTTATCTGTACAAACACAGGTGAGAATCTGGGATGAGAAGCCATCCAACTCCAAACGTCTTGATAATAGTTCTTCAATTTTTTTTTTCTGCTGAAATTGCTCACCGCTATCCTACATATGCCTCTATGAGGTAGATAAAAATATTAAAATCTCAATTTGGCAGAAGAGCCAAATATTGTGGCATTATACTCCAGAATAATATTGATATTTAGAATCTTACCAACTGGCTCTTCCAGAAGAAGTTCAAGTTCAGAATGTGCTGACACCTGATGGTAAGCTAAAAAACATGCCCTTCTCATTACAGGGCTTTACCCAGAAAAAAAAAAATTCTCAGAGAAGGTGCTTCTTGAATTGAATAGAGAAATCTCAAATCACATTTTAGAGAGGGAATTCCTTACCATCTTTACATCCTCTTTCGGAAGACAGGTTAGAACCTAGGTTCAAATCCTAGGTCCACTATTTACTAGCTATGTGACCTCAAGCAAGTTAATTAACCTCTCTGTGCTTCAGCTGTCATCTCAAAAAAAAAGTACCTACCTAACAAGTTAGCAGTAAATGAGTTAATATAAGTAAAGCACTTAGAAGAACAATGTTTGCAAGCCTCAATTACGAATCATACACAAATATAACTGTAATCCTTATATGGCTTACAGATAATAAAAATTTAAGATGATTCAAAAGTTGTCTGGACGAGGGCAGAGGACTCCCAACCACATGGTAGGCACACAAACAAGTATGTTAAGTGATAATTCTGTGTTTAGTGTAATGGTGTTGTTAAAAAGAAACAAGCCCCAAATGGAGTCACTTGTGTTGAGCCCCACCAAGATTTAACACCTAACCTAACTGCAGTTTCAACCTCTATCAGGAGTAGAATCTTAAACCAATCACTCTGGAATTTCCTGAATCAGGTAATCTGCCTGATAAGACCCCTTGCTTCCTATAAGGGAATGTGACCTTCCCTAATACAATCCACTCTTTCTTCTGCCTGTTGAAAACTTTCCATTTTGCACAACTCCTAGGAGCGCCTTTCTATTTACTAGGCGGGATGCTGCCCGATTCATGAGTTGTTTAGTAGGCCAAGTAGATTTTCAGATTTACTCAGTTGATGCTTGTGTTTTAAGTGTTGAGCTGTATTGAAGCAGGATTAAAGAAATGACTGAATTAAGTGTGATCTTTTCTTTTATTGTTTTTCCAACTTTCTGAACAAAAATCCAAAAGGATAGCAACACTAAAGTGGATGATGAATATTTGCTGAAGCCTTCCACATGTCTTTGGGTAAAAAAAAGGGGAAAACAATCCATGTGGGACTGAGTTCATCTTCCTGACACACACAATGCACTTAACGCCTTAAGAAAACTCAGAGGAAAGCTCTACGGCCGCCACTGTGAGACCAGACGGGAAACCGAAGGCAAAAGGGCAGTGGTCAGTGAGTAGCAAGCCGAAATACGACACCAAGGAACTGAAATAGGATTATTCCACTTGAAACGTGACTCCCGGCGAGGCACTTACCCTCAGAGCTCCCGGAAAGTGAGGGCGGTCGGGCCCACTAAACAAGAGAATTTGCGCCCGACCGCGTCACTAAGGTGCTTTGAAATCACCTGGCGAACGGCATGCTAGACAAAGAAAACGGCCAGCGCAAGTGAAACTAGTCCGGGTTCGCGAAAGCACTCGGCCCAAAAAGCCTGATCAGAAAGACGGGAGGGCTGGGGAGAGTCGCGAAGTGTAGCCCCAGGCTGCGTCGCCGCCCCGGAACCGAGCCGACGCCCGTGGGATGAGAAGGGCGGGACAGGCATCGGGGCGGGACTCTCACCGGCCGCCGGGCCTGCCCAGCCCCGGAGGGAGAGAACAGAGGATCCGGGCACCAGCCGAGGCGCCGGGCACTATCTCTACCTGCGGCGAGTCGCCGCTACAGCCGCCGCCGGGCTACCCACCCCACACCGCCAGGGGGCCCAACGCAGCGTGCACCCGCGCAACAGACGCACGGCGGCCGCGACCCCACAGCCGGCGCCGCTGACGTCAGGCCGACGTCAGAGCGGACGCCGCGGCGGGGCGGGAGCTGGGACGGCGAAGGAGGGCGTTTTCGGAGCACGCGCTGGGCTGGGGCCGCTGACGTCGGGCTCAGGTGCGCGCGCTCGCTCGCCCGCCCGAGAGCGGCCCAGGTGGCGGCTTGCAGCTCCAGGTGGCGGCCTGCATCGGTGAGGGGGCGACCGGCGGCGCGTCCGCACGCTGTCCCGGCGGCGCGGGAGACCGGGCGGGGTCGGGGTTAGGGGAGCGGCGGGAGGGCGCCTCGGCTTGCACTCACGTGACGGGCGGGGAGGTTGGGGTGGGGGCGGCGAGCTGGGTGGGCCTGGGCCCCCGAGGGGGAGACGAATTGTCCGGCCCCACCCCTCGCGGGCCTGCCCGTCGCAGTGCAGGACCTTCCTTGGGGCTGGGGCCGGACCCATCGCGCAGCTTCCCTGGGCAGCCTGGTCCTCTGCGGCGGCCCACCCGACCGCCGGAGCTGACAGGAGTTGTCTTCCCCGTAGGGCCGCGGCGAGAAGGCGAGAGTCCGCGCTTTCCGAGGGAGCTGCGCCGGCCTCGGCCCCGCGGGGTCCCACCGCACCCGAGAGGATGGAGAGCCTCCCCCGACGCCCCAGCAGGGCCCGCGATCCCACGCTGGCCGGCCCTCGCTAGCTGCTCGAAATTTGCGTTTTATCCACCACCTAGGCCTTGTCTCCTGAGTCAGTGGCGTTGTGGTTCCAAAGAAATGGAAGAAAAGGAGCGATGTGACCGACTCCGTTCGGTCCTCCTACCTTGAGGCCTGGTTGGCATTTGTAGAAAGGAAAATACAGCAAGAAAATCGTGTGTTTTTGGAAGGGGTAGAAGAGGAGGGTGGAAGAAGGAAAACAAGGTCTTAGATTTTATATGATTTTTTAAAACTTCTGCACTTCGACAGTGGTGGCAAAATACACTAAATCCAAAAGTTATCTTTGTTTTGAGAAGGGGATTATTTTTCCTTTTGATTATGACCTTTTCTCCCCGTGACAAAGCATAAATCATGGACATCAGAAAATAAGGTAGACCTCAGGAATCCTGCAAAGACTGAGAAGCTTACATTCCTCCTCAGGAGGAAAGAGTGGGGTGTTTTTAGCCCTCTCTGGAACCTAAAACGAAAAACATGAGTTGCGTGCCATGGAAAGGAGACAAGGCCAAATCCGAATCATTGGAGCTACCCCAGGCTGCACCCCTACAAATCTACCATGAGAAACAGCGCAGGGAGCTTTGTGCTCTGCACGCCCTCAATAATGTCTTCCAGGACAGCAATGCCTTCACCCGGGACACGCTGCAAGAGATTTTCCAGAGGTAGGGGACTCCTTCTTGGTGTCTCTATCCTTTTGTGCTCTTTTTGAATTTCTGCGCGTGGGGCAGCGTCTCTGCTGCATAAACCTTCAAACCAACAGGGATTGTTAATGCTGTTAATGCTAACAGCTAAATGCTGTTAGCAGGTATAAGGGACACAGGAATGGGAAAGTGAATAATCAGGACCATTTACTGAGCACTTAACAGTGGGCTGGGCACAGTGCTAAGAGCCTCAGTGGTGTTACCTCAAGTGATCCCTTATACAATCCATTGGAATCTGTGTTGTCATTTCCATTTTATGGATAAAGACAGGGCTCAGAGAAGTTCAGTAATTTGCCCAAGGTAACATAACAAGAGATGAAGCCAGGCTTGAATCCAGGTTTGTTGTTGCTGTGCTGTTGACCACTATGCTGTTAATGCCTCTCAAGTCCTGCCCCCAAGGAGTTTAGAGTCTAGAAGGGGGACAAGATACGTACACACTCAGTCACCTGTCATCAGAGTTGGAATGTAGTGGGTTCCATAAGAAGGGTATATACACAGTGCTCAGCTTTTCTACGAGGCCGTGTGCTGGGGTTGGTGCTTTTCATATGGTGTTTTGTGTAGCTCTCCTAACAGTAGATTTACTGTCTCTATTTCACTGATAAAGAAACAGAAAGAAAGGTCAGGTAATTTGTCCAAATAGCTTCTAAGTAGCAAAGCTGTGATTTGAAGCTGACTCTAGGTCCCCTCCCCTTTCTACTTCATTCTAGAGGGCCTTTCTTATCCACTTTCCAAACGCTACCGGACAGGTTGATAGAAGTTCAGCTTTCTTCTGTCAGCTTTGATGTTCTAAAATTCTTCTCTCAAAGGGTATGAGAAATGGTTCTGCAGTGGCTGGTTCAGCACGTGTGCTGTCCATAGCAACTCTGACAGTGCGCCTGTCTCACTACACCAGCTTATAAAGAGTTATCCCGCTCAATTCTCAGTGCAGAGAAAGCCCAAGAATTCTTCAAGCAATGTGTATTGGCAGTTCCAGAAGACCCTTCTCTGACTCCATTCAGAAATGAAATGATTGCCCCAGAGGGCCTGAATTACAGCTGGGAACAACCTATTTGGGGTGATTTATGAAGCATAGGTATGGACCACTTACCCTGAAAGAACCGTAGGCCCTCTCTTAAAAGAATGTTAATCCCAGTGTGCTGACAAAATTGTAATGAGAGTAATTATTTTCCAGTGTCAGTAATAACCATAGTAATGCCTTAGCAGGGCAGATGTGTCCTTTGCATCATGGCCATCATCTGGCAAGTAGAATTAACTCTTCTCAGGAAACAGGGCCCTGGGAGGTGAGATAACTTGTCTCAGATTGCTAGGTCGTGTAGCTGAAAGCAGAAAGGAGGCCAGTCCATTAGACTGCTTCCTTTTGGCAGCCATTAATATATCTTCTTCTCCTAATTGGATATTTTCAGATTATTTCCTAATCGAAGTCTAGGGAGAAGGAAAAGACTGACAGTGAGTCCTTGAACTTGCTTGGTACTCGGTACTCTGTGACAGCCCTGCAACAACCGTATCAGCAGTGATCCTGGGAAACTAGGTTTCCATTTAAGCAATTTGCCCAGTTTCACTCACTAGTCAATGTCAATTCCAAGACTCGGTGTGTCCATTCAGAAGTTTTCCACTTCTCTAAATTTGGCCTGGACCTGACATGATGGTGATCACTAACACAGATGAACACTCTGTGCAAAGCACTGTTCTGAGTGCGTTCCTTGTGTTCACTCACTCCTGACACCAATCTTAAGGGTAGATCCTGGGACTTCCTTGGCGGTCCAGTGGTTAAGACTCCGCACTTCCACTGCAGGGGGCACCGGTTGGATCCCTGGTCAGGGAGATAACATCCCACATGCTGTGCGGCCAAAAAAAAAAAAAAGGTAGATCCTGTTATTTTTCATCTTTCCAGATGAGGGAACAGAGTTCACAGAGCTATTCGTTGTAGGATTTGGTCCCAAGCTTTGTGAATGGAGGGCCTGCTTTCCGATCTGCTCTGCTACTTCCTGAGTATTGGGAAGGCGTCTCAGAGCAATGACATCATCCGTAGCTGTTCACCCTGCTAGGAAGTTGGGCCTGGGTTTGAAGATGTGGACTATAAGCTGTTTGTGGATAATAGCAGGACTTTTTCAGCTATGTTTTCCCTGAATGAAAGAATGCTAAATATTTGCTAAACACTCACATGGAACCAAAGTTCTATTCCTGGCTTTTGAAGCTTTAGCAAGTTGTACTACATTCCCCCAGGTACCTATCAGCACAAGATCCACCTCAGAGTAACAGCAGACCAGTACATATGAGAATACATGTACCCTACCACTCCAGAGGTGGAATTCTGTATGGAGTATTTAATATGGGAAGATTCGGTGTGGATAGATAGAAACAAAGAAGTGTGAAAGGGAGGAGAGGTGAGGGAGAGGAGATAGAATTTTTTAAACGAGAAACATTTACTAGCTGCCTTCAGTATGCCAGGCACCACTACACACTGTAAAGAAAACAAGCTGAACAAGACTCAGCTGCTGAGAAGTACGTCTTAGAACCGTCCATTGACCCGGCCTTGAGAAAAGACTGAAGTGAATTTAGAACCATGGAACTCAGAGCAATCTAAAGGGAGAAAGATAATCTATTTGGATTTTAACAGAAAAGAAGAGTAACGTTGGCAGTAATGTTAACTAGATAATTTTTAATTCCCAGATCTTAAGTTCTATGCTGTTTTGAAGATGTGGCTGATGAATGGTAGAAATGGGACACAATTTTTGATTAATGCCATTTGTTGAGAGGAAGTTCATTCTAGCAGTTGAATTTTAGCCAGACAGAATACAAAAGCAGGGTGGAGTTACAATGCAGTTGTGGGTATGAGATGACTCATGGTTGGAATAGAAATGAATAGGAATTTAGACAGGACTAAGCTAATCACTCGGCAGCAACACAGGAACAGGCAAGAGAGGAGTCAGGTGTGACAGGCTCAATCCAGGATTTGAAGATAGTGGTCAAAAAGAGATCATCGGTTTGAAAAGGATGAACAACTGCAATTGGAGAAAAGGTCAGACTATAAGAGATTATAGATACTGGTGAACATCCTCTACCACAGAGAAGCCCTCCTGCCTCCCCATTAAAAAGTCCCTGAGCACACATTTAAAGGAAGGGGCCACCTTTAAAGGTATGGCGGTTGTAAATGGAGAAAAGGTGTTGTTGAGTGTTAACCTCTAGAGATTTAAATTTTCTCATCCAAGGGCCGGGCAGACTCCTTCTCGTCATCACCATCGCCAGCACCTACAGAGTACTTTTGTGTGCCTGGCGCTGTGATCTGTGCTTTATGTATTTAAGCTGTGCTTTATGTATTTAATAATTTAAAAACACATTAGGAAGTTCTGAGCCATATTTTCTAAGGTCACACCTCAGAACTTATAAAAAGGAAAAAATTAAGGGAAAAAAGGAATCTTGATGACATGTTTCCACATCTCCTTTTCATTCAAACCTGAAACATCACCTTAGCCAGACACAGTGGTAACTATAAGAGAGGACCAGAGACTTAACTGAGGGCACAGACATCAGTGGAGAGACCTGGGCTAGAACCCATCTTCTCAGTTGTAGATCACTTCAAATCTTATGGCTCTAACCTCTGCCTATGGTGACAAAAATGAGAGGCTAGCGTACAGTCCAGAATTTCCGTGGAAATAATTAAGACAGTCCTGAATAGGAGTTTGCCGAGGAGTCTCAAGAAAACATTCCACTGGGACAGAGTAGAATTCCCATGGAATTCAGTGGGATCAGTGTGTTGAAATGTCCAGGAGACTGTTCATTGTAGCTTTAGGTTTAGAGGTAGAATCCTAGCTCTGCCACTCACTAGCTGTATATGACTGTACAAGTCACCATAACCTCTTTGTACCTCAGCTTCCTTACTTACACTACGGGGTTAATTTCTATCTCAAGATTGTTGGAAGGATTAAGTGATAAATCTCATAAAAATAGCTAACACAGTGGGCACTTGATTATTGTCAAAGTAAAAACAAGCACTGGTATAATGGGCACACTGGATGGATCCCACTTACTCAAATGGCCACTCTTCTAGGAGTGAGATGGAAACCATTCTTAGCATTTCCTATATTGATTGGTTTGACAGACACACGGTTATGCAGTTGCCATTGCCCAGCTGTGAGAGATACAGAGGAGATGAGTCATCCCCTTTGCCTCGGGAGTTTACTATTTTGTTGGACATGTATAAAATAAATGAATTCTTCAGTGGTCCTATAAGTTAGGAATCATTCCCATTTTTACAGAGAAGCTAACAGGCATGGAGACTAAATCTCAGAATTGATATTGACTCTGCTTGGATGTGAACTCAGATGTGTGTGGTCCTCCTGATCTCCCTCCTTTTTCTACTGCCCTGGAGCCAGGAAGGATTCCATGGAAGAGGTAGGATGTTAGGTTGAGCTTGAAGAAGCTTTAGGATTTAGCTTGAAACAAGAACTAGGATAAAAGAAGAGAGGCCACATGGTCATGGTGCCTGAAGTACACTAAGCCCAATGAAAGGGAAACAGCAGGTCAAGTGGGGCTGGGAGGGTTGGAGTTGGCCAACCAGGCAACTGGCTCCACTGACAGTTCTTATGTAAGTGAGTGAAATGATACCTTGGTGAAGGTGGCAGGAACATAAAGGCTGAATAGGTGGAAGGAGCATTTGGAAGCAAGGAGGTCAATTTAGGAACCTGTGTCAAAAAATCCAGGTGTGGGACTTCTCTGGTGGTCCAGTGGTTAAGACGCTTCCAATACAGGGGACGAGGGCTCGATGCCTGGTCGGGGAACTAAGATCCCCCATGTTGCATGGTGCAGCCAAAAGATTAAAAAAAAATTTTTTTTAATCCAGGTGTGAGGTGAGGAGCCTCCAGTTAGGGGAGAGAGTAGGAATAGACAGGCAAGGATTTGAATCTGAGATTGATGTAGGACAAGGAGAAGAGACACTCGGAACACTAGCCCTAGAAGGTGCACCTCAAAAAAAATGTGTGGTCAAACCTGTTTGGGAGCTGAAACCTTTTGTACACCCTCTCCCCGAGACTCAAGGTAAATATTAGCATATTAGGGGCTTCAAGAAAACCTGTAGGAAACCTGTTTGCTTGATTCATTCAGCTATTGTATTAAATGCCTCTGTGATCCTCTGAGGAGCGCATTGCGGGGAAACGCAGCACTAAGGTTTGAGCTTGGTAGGGAGTTAGATGGTGAAAGAGATGGAGGACTCAGCAGTTTCTTTGCTGGAACCTTCATGCGTCTACTGTCTGGAGACTTCTCTGAAGGTATTGAGAAGCTACTGAAAAGCTGGTGAAGGGAGAGCAACTTGATATATCTTGAGATAGACTTTCATATGCTTTCTCATTTAATCCAAGTGCCCAAGAACCCATTGAGAGCCTTTGTCCTGTTAAGCTACATTTTAGGCCCAGGCCAAGGGACTCAGCTGGCCTTTCCTCTTATCAGCCCACCGCCACCAGCCGCTCTGATTCATGAGTCCTTGCCGTAAGACAGCAAGCAGAACTTTGGATTCAAACAAACCTGAGTTTGAATCCTAGTTCTGTCATCTATAAGGGAAGTGATCACGGGCTAGTCATTTTAAATCACCAAACTTCAGTTTCTAAACCCATAAAATGGTAATAATTCATACCTTCTTATGGGTTTATTGTGAGGATTAAATGAGATACATATATGAAAGCATCTATCATCAGGCATGGCAGAGAAGTTTTCACTAAACGGTATTTATTGTCACAGGTAAAACAAAGTTTGGTTGCAGAGTGGAGTTTAGTGTCCTCAGATCCCCTTCTTTGCTAACTCTGGAGGCTAGCATATAAGCCCTTATTATTTTAAGGGTCTGCTAATATTTACAGGGCAAGAGAGAGGGAAAACAAAATAAGCATGGAAAACGTTTCAACAAACGTCCCTCGAGCACCTATCACGTGCCAGGTATTCTTTGAGGTCTGGTGATGGGTAGAGAAGGCCCCTGCTGTCTTTCTAGTGTGGAAAAACACGCAAGTCAGAAAACATGTCCAGTAGTAACACGAGCTATAATTAAATTAAAGCAGGTGGATGTAAGAGGAAATGACTGGGAGAAACGTAAGGTTGGGTGGTCAGAAAAGGCCTCTAGGGCAATAACACTTGAGACCCAAAAAATGAGGAGCAGAGCAAGTGGAGATCTAGGGGAAGAGGATTCCAGACAGCGGGAACAGTGAGTGCAAAGGCCCTCCAGTGAGAAGGAGCTCTGTGTGTTCAGACTGCAGAGAGAAGGTGTTTGTGCTAAGAGGTAGGGATGAGGTCAGCAGAATCCTAAGGGCCTTGCAGGCCAGAGGAAGTAGTTTAGATCATATTTAAGTGCTTTGGGAGCCTTGGAGGGTTTAAGTAGTGGCAGGAGTATGTTTTATGTTGGAAAAATATCAGTATGGTTGCTGTATATAGAGTATAAGATTTCTTAAGTTTTTAGAGTTGACCTAAAGATCTGATTCTCTCCTGGAGATGGCATTTAGCAACCTCCTAGACATCCGCTCTCCACTTTTATTCCTGAGGAACTCACGTCATTTCCCTTCCTCCCCTTCACACAGAGGTGAAAGGCATGCTGCCCCTTCCTTCAAGATGGCCTTTCCTCAGGTCCCGGCCTGCGCCGCCTATGAAAGCAAATTAATAGGATTGGGAATGCCTTCAGAACTGACCTTGTCATGAGATGGAGGAGTGGCTAAAGAGGCCTGGGCAAAGGTGGCTTAAAGCCAGTGAGCAAACCACACTGCAGTTGAGTTTTGTTTATCTGGTACAAAATTTTTTTCCAGTTTGTGTTTGTTTGTTTTTTTTAATTCAGGTATTTTACACACATGTATATTCAGAATACCTTTAGGTGGTTCATGAATTTCAGTTTAATATGGGCCTTACTACTTTATATTGCCTTATGTGGCCCCAGTTCATACATTTATGTTACCTGTCTGAGCCCCTGTAGGCCTTTGAGTATTTAATGATTGATGATTACCAAGTATGCAAGCCTTAAACAGAAAGCATTTAAAGTGTAAGAAATGAGAGTAAGAAATACTACCCATGCAATCAAACTATCAAATACTATTTTTAATGTTAAACAAAAGGCTGTATCAAGGCAAGAAGATCAGCAAGGAAGAAGACTGCAGAAATGGGAAGACTGGGGATTTCATAGATGAGACTCCTTCGTGGAACATTCTCTGTATCCATTGAATTCACTGGAGACACACTTTCTAAATGGCAGGCAGATAGGCCCCACTGCTACTGAATTATTGTTTTTCATAAAAGGAAAGGTAATCCCTAGGGAAGCAGGAGCCCAGACTTCAAAATACTTTGGTAAAAACTCGTTACGTTTACTTGAATGGGAGGAAACAAGCTTCCAGGGGCAGTGGTGTAAAGTACTCTTTCGTCCCTGCCAGTGCAGGGCCAGGAGGGGTTAGGTTGACCAGCAAGTCTCAGCTTTCCTCCTTTCACATTTGCAGGTTGTCTCCAAACACCATGGTGACCCCCCACAAGAAGAGCATGCTGGGAAATGGGAACTACGATGTGAACGTCATTATGGCAGCACTTCAAACCAAAGGCTATGAAGCTGTTTGGTGGGACAAGCGCAGGTAATTGAACCAGGCTTGACTTGATGAGAACTGGCATTCAGCCGGGGAGGTGGCCAGTGGTGGTGTTACCGCCGGGGAATCCGGGGGAGTTGGCTGCTGCAGAGCCCGACACCGTTTCTGTTCTGCAGGGATGTCGGCGCCATTGCTCTCACTAACGTTATGGGCTTCATCATGAATCTGCCCTCCAGCCTGTGTTGGGGTCCACTGAAGTTGCCACTCAAAAGGCAGCACTGGATCTGTGTTCGAGAGGTGGGAGGTGCCTACTACAACCTCGACTCCAAACTGAAGATGCCCGAATGGATTGGAGGCGAGGGCGAGCTCAGGTACCTGTGTGGCTGATGTAGTGGCAAGTTGAGCTTATCTTTGGACAAAGGAAATGACATTCCTAGTTCCTTGGGTCCTCTCCTTATTGTCACTTAGAATCATAGGGTTTCAGACTTTAAAAAGACCTGAATCTTCAATGGCCCATGAAGACGTTAAATCCCATTGGTAGAGAAGTCCCATTACCTGGGATGCTGGCTTCCTAGTCTGGCGGGACTGGCATTGTAACATTCTCCAACTTGACAGTATAGCTGCCAGTTCAGTGAAAGGAAGGCAAACATTTGGGCCAGAGGGGGCTAAATTTCCCTGGAACCAAAGAAGAAACTCCTCCTTCTTCTTATTTTATTTTTTTTTTACAATTATAAGTCCTTTAGAGTACTTTGGGCTCTGTTCCTCACAGAACTGGCTACTGTTGGCAGTAACATATGAGGATGAGCAAAAATTCAGATTGGAAATTTAACTGGACAGATTGAGGGGTAACCAAATGTGGACTCCTCCAAGAACAGATCACTACTAGAGTGTGTTTAGGGCAGCCAAGGGTATAAATAACAAGGGTCCTGTCTGGCGAACATGTGGCCCCAAGACTGGAGTTTGCAATTTTACTAGCATTTTCATTTTCTCTTTCATCTACCCTTTTTTCCTGTAGGAAATTTTTAAAACATCATTTGCGAGGAAAGAACTGTGAACTCCTGCTGGTGGTACCAGAAGAGGTGGAGGCCCATCAGAGTTGGAGGGCTGATGTGTAACACAGTTCTACCCAGCCTTCCCTCACCTCAACCCCCGAAATCCTCTGTGATGTGCTGTGGCCTCTACAGTGGGTCTGCCCTTGCCACGTCCCCAAACATCTCATCGGGTTTTTCCCCTCACATTTGACAGTGCAATAGGACAGACATGTAGACTGTTACAGAACGAACCAGCGTTACTTGTTCTGGGAAAGGAAAGTAGGAGCTCTGTGTGCTTAAGGCAAGCTATGGAAGACTTTTGTTTTATTTAAGAGAGGAGAAAGAAAGGTGGGTCTTAGCTTATTTCCCCGTTTCTCTGAGGACTTGCCAGAGGCTCTGCTGGAGTTCACTGCTGCTCTGACTCACCTGGAGATGCTGCCTTCACTTCCCCTTTCCTGCCAACCAGTGGGTCTGAAGACACAGTACAGGCAAAGCCCATGCTGACGGGTTTGAAGGACTTAGAGCAAAAAGGCCTCTCAGGAAACCATCTCCAAAACTGCAGCAGCAGTACAGCATGCTGTCTCCAACCCTTAATGCCGCCCTTACCCCGTTTTTAAGAGTGGTTTATGGCCATCCTTGGAGTTTTATAATGAAAAGTTCTCTAATATTCCATGCCGGGCGGTTGAATCCTGCGATATTCTAGTGTGACAGGGTGAGCTAGATACCTAAGAGGATGTGGCCAGAACCAGGCTGGGGCAGGCATGGACAGCCTGTCCGCCTCACTCCAGCATCATCCCTCCCACTTCACTGCATTGCACTGGTTTAGGAGGCTTTGAGGCACAAGATAGGCAAAAGGGCAGTTTTCCCAGCTGACCCACTCTGGCAGAAATCAGGAAAAAAATAAGACTGCCTTTGACATCAAATTCTACTAGTTTGAGACAGAGTTGGGCAAGGAAAGTATTGGGAAGATAAGCCTTCAGAGACTTGGAGCAGCTAGAATGGGTAGAAGTCCTAGGCTTGGAGTCACTGTAGTGACAAGAAGCAGAGCCCTCACATTGGGTGGATATGTGCGTTACGCTTTGTCATCTCTGTAGCTTCCTTTACAGATCAACTGAGAATGGACCTGCCCCCTACCTCTTTAAATAGTTGTAGGCCACTTTTCTCCCCGTAACTTGGGAAAACAAAAGGAGAAGTAAGGGTCATACTACACCGCCTGTCACCACAGTGGCTGTGGTTGTCTCAGGGCAGGTGGGCAGGCAAGGATGGCCTGTCCAGCCCTCACAGGTCAGTGGTTTTGGCAGGTCTGAGAGCTGCCCCACTGGCCAGACCTCTCCAATAGCAGAGCCAGCCTGGGGCTTGCATGTCCAGCCTGAGCAAGCTTAACGGGATGAAGCTGAGGCTTTCTCCCCACTGTGACTGGAGTGCATGTTTACACCAGCACTTTTTCTGCACATGTATCTTCAATCCAACAAGGCCATTTTTTCTGCTGAGTAACAGAGGCCACCAAGCGGCAACTGCGTTACACCCTCTCAGCAAGTGGCCGCATTGTCTTCTGCACCATTTTCCACAGCAGACCTGCTTGGCACCACAGGGAGCTCTTCGCCCCCGCACAATGACATTCCAACCACCACCAGCCAGAAGTTACAGCCAACCTTGCTCATTGTCACAAGCAGGACCTTGGGTCCATTGGCACTGTCAGTGATGTAAGCCATTTCCTGGGAGAAGGAAACTCCTCGCCACCAATCTGCTTGGGCCTGTGCAAATGGCACTTCAAAGGAGTCCCCATGCACTTGGAGTCCATGAGCCAGTGGGATATATGCAAAGACGCTTAAACATTTCAGGGCTGGTTTCTCTGTTCATATCCAATTCTGGTGCTTAGGAACAGGGACCTATGCTGATGCCCAAGGGCAAAAAGCCCCACTTCCTTTAAGAAAGGGGGCAGGCCTGACCCTGATGCCCAGTAAGGGGCAACCCTAGGCTTTTTGTTTTTCTTGCTTTTATTCCTTTTTGTTGGCCTTGTGCTGGGTTTGTTTACAAAAGATGTATTTTGTTTAACCAAATATTAAAAATGGAAAACTCCATACATAAATTTCATCTGTCTGAATTCTATAATTATGTACATTAAAAAAAAGTGAAGTTTAGTATGATGCTGCTTTGGAAGGAATTCACTACCACCATAAGTCATCTTTTAGAGACATACTGTGCTTTGGCCAGACCTCTCACTTCAAAAATCCAGACAAAATACTCACCAAGTAGGACTTGATTCAGAAAAAGCCCGAGACACTTTTCGACTTAATTTGTAAAAACTAGGCTCCACAACATGAAGAACCCTAACCCTCATCTTAAGTACAAGTTTTCTTTACTGACAAGTGACTGTTCTTCCCTGGTTAACAGGTGGAAGATTATGTATTTACACAGAGGACCTGGGAGGCCCCAGCACCAAGTACATAGCAGGATTCCGAGCCAAACTGACTAGATTTGAATTCAGATCAGGCATTTTCTATTCAGCCTGGAACAGATCACTTAACCTTTCTGGGACTGTTTTCCTCTTCTGTAAAATGAGAATACTGCCACCTCCTAAATTGTATAGTATAGTTCCAGCAACCCACATAAAGGACTTAGTATTGTTACTAGCACAATGCCAATAAAAATGTGTGTGAAATGGAAAAATCACAAAGTTCAAAGATAGGGCTACAGCTGGATTCACAGTCAATAGCTCATCAGCAATTACAATTGATCCTCAAACAGCACAGGTTTGAACTCGGGGGGGTCCACTTACACGTGAACTTTTTTCAAGAAATACTACAGTGCCACATGAACTGTGATTGGTTGGACAGCAGACACACAGAGGGCCAATGATTTTTAAAAGAAACGCACAGGCTTTTGACTGCAAGGAGGGTCAGTTCCCCTAACCCCGTGTTGTTCAAGGGTCAACTGTATTTTCAAAAAGAACAAACCCAAGATGTTCTATTTGCAACCTTCCTATCCCCAGACTAGATAGCAATACTATGTCATTCTTTGCAAGTTCTTTATAATTATTTTTTCTTTTTTTTTTCCTTTGGCCGAGCTTCACAGCATGTGGGATCTTAGTTCCCCAAACAGGGATCGAACCCGTGTTGCCTGCAGTGGAAGCACAGTCCTAACTACTGGACCACCAGGGAATTCCCCCTTTATAACTGTATAATGTCATTGTAGACTGTGCAAGTACATGGACCCAATCCTTTGCTGGTGGATCTGAAACCGATTGCTTGAGCTCAGAGAGGTTCTTGGTCAAAGACGGATTTTTTTTTACCTCTGGGAATTTAACTGACCTGGGCCTAAGGGATCAGTCAGTATTAAACGGTGGTGCTGGCTCAGGTGAGAGAAAATGTGAGGGGCTGTTTTCTTTGCCCTTCTAAAATGGTCTAAATAATTTCAAGGTATGTATGACGAGCACTTGGAAGACATTTTTGGTTGGAATCATTTTTTAATATTTAAATAGAAAAAGTGAGCACTGACTTCTTTTTCTCTCTTAGACACACACACGTCTAACAGCCGAAATATGCAGAGGAAATGAGCTCCTGCTCTGTCCTCCACAGTCCCCACGTTGTGGTTGAAGCTGTTGCCAGCCCTCTCCATCCTTTCCAACATAGAAATTCACAGCACAGCTGTAATGCATTCTATCTCGCGTGCACGTCCCTCCCCAACATCCCCATTCTTAAAAACCGAACAGTCGTTCATGGTCAGGGGCACATCCTTCCCGACGGCATCAGTTCCTGCCCCACAACGGGACAGTGAGGAGCTCTTCCGTCAGAAGTAACTTCGTGAAAGGGGTGGGATGGCCGGAGCTGGAGTAACCATATGCATTGCTGCACTCTGGTATCAGAGTGAGGACAGAAGAAATAAGTCAGCAGAGCATGGAGGGCACAGTTGCAAGTGAGGAGTCTCTCCATGAGACAATGTGGGGAGAATTCTCCCCACCAGGTTTAGATAAATCAATGTGCCAAAGTTCAAAAAAATAAAATAAAAAAAACCCCAATACTCAGCAGTTCAAACACTATTGAATTTTCAAACTTCTCCCACCAAGACAGGCCAAACATAGCAGTAACAATCTAGATCTTTCCAGGAAGTGAGGGTAGAGCCCCGGGCATTCCTCCTGACAGCCCTGTATTAGGCCCTAGAAGTATCTGGAAAAGAAAAGGAGGGGTGTAAGGGCTCTCATTTCCATCATACCCATCCAGGCAGACAAGGTCTATGAAAACAATGCTGAGGGCACAGTCAGGCACCTAAAGGAGGGTGGGCCGGATCCCAATCCCTCCCGGCACACTAACCGCCCTACCTAGGTGCCGGAGGAACAGACAACTTATGTCTCCACTGCCGGCAACAAGCCCAGGGTCTGGGCTCACCTGCCGCTGCTGCAGCTGCTGCTGTTGCTCCATCTGCAGCTTCTCAGTCTCAAAGACGACCGGAAGAACCAGGATCATGAAGGAAGTGGTTCCAATCCACAAGGCTGCCCTGGAAAACCTGCGGAGGGAGCATGAGCCCGACGGCAAGACAAAAATACACAGCTTCACCAAGAACTCACCAGTAGCCAAATCTCTCGCCCTGCACATTCCAGTGTTCTTGGTAGGCGTGTCCTACCCGACTCTTGCGCTGTACTCCTACCGGAAACAGGAGGAGCAGCTCTAGGGCCTGTGCGTCTAGTGAGAGTAGTCTGAACAGTCTCCTGAGTTCTCACCGTGCTGCTTGTACATTAATTATATCACATGATCTCAGGTGATCCTCACAACGACCCTGCCCAATAAGAATCCTCACTTTACAGACGAGGAGATAGAGACCAAGAAAGGTTAAAGTAGCACCAGTCCAAGGTCACTCAGTGATCTAGCCGGCGGGCTGGCCTCCAACCCAGGTCTGCGGCTCCCAAAGCCCGTGTTCATTCAGGGCACCTCAGTCACCCCAGGCACACCCCAAGGTCTTTGCCCTCGTCCCTTACCTGTACATTTTTTGAGCCACGAAGAGGGAGAGATCAAAAGTGGCTCCAGCCGCGGACCGGACTCTCTCGGGGAACATCTCCGTCAGACCCCACAGTCTCTCCGACAGAGTCTCATCTAACTGTGGTGGAGGAGGCGCGGATATGGGCCGAAGCAGCGGTAACCACCCCCCGACGCCGGGACATGCCGGTCTCCTGGAGCTAGGGCACCCCGGCCCCAGCGGAGCCTCACCCCGCCTCCCGGAGACGCCTCTGCTCGGACCTCTCCAGGCTCCGCGACGCGCCTTCGTCCCGCTCCTGCAGCACGCGGAGCCCCCACCCCCGCTCCCCGCCCGCACCCTCCCAGCCCCGCTCCGCCCCGCAGTGCCCAGTACCTCCTCGTCGTCTTCCTCCTCCAGCTCCTCCTCAGGCTTCTCGGCATCGCCTTTCGGAAGCAATTCGTCCGGGGAGAGCGGCGCCCCAGGCCCCGCGGCGGCAGCGGCGGCGGCGGCGGCGGCAGCCATGGCTGTGGGGAACACCGGAAGCGGTAGAGAAGAGGCGAGTGCGGCGCCGACGGCGGACAGAGCCGCCCTTCCGGGAGCCGGAGGCTGGAGAGCTGGGGAAGAGCGCCGCCCTCTGGTAGGCAGGCTTCACCGGCCCTCAGCAAAGGGCGGCCGGGAGGTCGGAGAACGTGAGACACGTGGGAAACTTATTAAAGCCCTGAATCGGGGTGCGTCAGCTGTTAATTCTGTTCTGTGGGCTTAGGGTGAGCCCGAAAATCTGCATTTTAACAAGCCTCCCAGAGATCGCACGTAGACAAACACGAATCCAGTTTCATTTCCCTGAGGGCTGTGTTTGGTAGGAGCAAATTAGAGATTTGGAGATGTATTGGTCTTTTGGGAAAACGTCAAGTAAACAGTCCCAATGTACTAAAACAAGGGCGAGAGTGTACCAGGCACTGTTTGTGCGTGCGAAGGGCGGGGGTGGGAGGGGCGCTCATTTAATCTTTGCATCAACCCACTGAGGTGCTACTATCCCCATTTTTTTTGGCCGGGCCATGCCGCATGCAGGAACTTAGTTCCCCAACCAGGGATGGAACCAGTGCCCACTGCATTGGGAGCCTCAAGTCTTAACCACTGGACTACCAGGGAAGTTCCTATTGTCCCCATTTTAGAAATGAGGAGATTGAGGCACAGTACAGGGTTGCTGCAAGTATTTCTGGAGGATGGATTTCAAGATGTGGGTTTGCTGGCCAAAACGTATGAACATTTAAAATTTTGGTAGGTATTAGCTAATTGCCCTCGGAATTATTATATCACATACTTTCACAATAGCAAATGGAAGTGTCCTTTTCTCCACACCCTCCCCAGCATTAGGTATTATCCATATTTTCATATGATGGATGAAAATGCTCCTTTTTATAATGTGTCCCACAAGTTATTAATACAAGGGTAGTTTGATATACCTCTTTAGACAACTGACCATGGAACCGAAGAATCTCAGGATAGGACAGTCCTGATCCTTATCTGATACTTGAGAGACTTGTCCCGTGTTTACATATTCCGGGGAGGGGGGGCGGGGTTTGCACTTTCTCCAGATAGAGCCCTCAGTCCTCTTTATCTTTGGACAGGGCAGCTCTAACTACAAAAAGTCTTCATGTCACAAAAGGGTACCTACTGTCTGATTCCATTAGGTAAAGTTAAAAGACAGGCAAAACCAATCTATGGTGAGAAAGGTAGTGATTCCCTTTGAGGAGGAAGAGGAGGTAATATTTGGGAAGGCAGGAGAGTTTCTGGGGTGCTGGTAAAGTTCTATTTCTTGACGTGTGTGGTGTTTACATGGGTATGCCCATTTTGGATAATTTGTCAGGCTGTACATTTATGAATTATACTTTTTGCATGTATTTAAATTTTTTTTTAAAGTAGGCTTGAAACCAAGCAGGATCCTGTGGGTCCCTCCCGGGTACAAATCCTTTCCCTGTCCCCGTTTCTTGTTTGTAGGAAATCGGCTTCTTTCAGCTTCCCTGACCTTCCCTGAGTTCCAAAGGGCAGGTTCAAACAGTTGCTAATCAGGGAAGGGAGGGAAAGCAGAAACAAAGGAAGAGCCGTCAAGAAACAGTGCAGCAATCCTGGTTCCTCAAGAGATATACATAACCTTTGGGTTCTTCTGCAGGAACTAAGGACCCCACGCAGGTGGAGGATGGTAAACTCAGGCTGAGAGCAAGATTCCTGCAGCACCGCCCTGTTACCTCACCACCAACCAATCAGAAGAAAGTCTGCACACAGTGGAAGATAAGGAAGACTCTGACCCTCTCCGCAAATGATTCTCCCAGAATCTTTGGAGTCCGCCTTCTCCCCAGGTTGCTGACCTCCTGAATAAAGCAAGCTTTCTTTTCCAACCAACACTTGTCTGAGTATTGGCTTTTGAGCAGTGAGCAGCTGAACCAGAGTTAGTAACAGGCTAGCTCTACATAAATGCAAGGGCAATCAAATGCCAATGGCTTTTGATTCTCTTATGGGCTCTTTTAAGAAATGCTGGAAGACCAACACTCTTTTTTTAAAAAAAATTATTTATTTTAGCTGTGTTGGGTCTTCGTTTCTGTGCGAGGGCTTTCTCTAGTTGTGGCAAGCGGGGGCCACTGTTCATCGCTGTGCGCGGGCCTCTCACTATCGCGGCCTCTCCTATTGCGGAGCACAGGCTCCAGACGTGCAGGCTCAGTCGTTGTGGCTCACGGGCCTAGTTGCTCCGCGGCATGTGGGATCCTCCCAGACCAGGGCTCGAACCCGTGTCTCCTGCATTAGCAGGCAGATTCTCAACCACTGCACCACCAGGGAAGCCCCTAGACCAACACTCTTGAAGGGTAGAGAAGGCAGTCTTATGTGGAAACTACAGACATCATTGGCTCTGATGAAATAAAATTCATATTTTATGGCAAGACAAGAAAAATTTAAACATAAAATCTTTCTTTGCCTGTTTGGGCCTCCTCCCTCCCCTTTAGTGTGTATTGTGCACCTGCATTAACCAGACCTCCTTAGGAGATAACCTTCCTTCTTGTAAAAGGCCATGATGACCCATGACCCACTACTCCCTGTGTACATATAGATCTGGATTGTGTAAACTGTCAATAATACGTCATTTAACATATAGCACTCTGTCTCAAAAACTTATGTAACTGTGCTTTGACCTCTAACAGATGGAAAAATTCTCAGAGCTTTCTGAGAGGCTTTCTCCAGGTTATAATCCTCAATTTGGCTCAAATAAAAGCCTCCATTTCTTCTTAGATTGACTGATTAATCTTTTTTTTTTTTCCATCGACAAGTCCAAGTGGAAAGTCACGATGCTAATATGAAGAAGTTTTTGGAAAACTTTGACCAATTTTGTTTATATTCACAAACAGTACATGATTTTTTTTAAAAATCCATGTTTAAGGCTGAAAGATCTCTTTCAATATTTATAAAATTGTCCAAGGGTAAGAAAAAATATTGGGAATCATGCCATGCAGAGTATTCAAACCTTAGGAATAGATGTGATGATCCAGAAAAGGCAAAGTGAGAAAGACAGAGCCCTGTGGAATCAGACAGGTCAGGGGTTACTTAGTCAAAATCATAGACAGAAAGTAGAATGGTGGTTGCCAGGGGCTGGCAGGGAGGAGGAGACGGGGAGTTCGTTTTCGATGGGTATACAACAGCTTCAGCTTTACAAGATGAGCAGTTATGGAGATGGGTGGTGGTGATGGCTGTACAACAGAATGAGTGTACTAACATTACTTAACTGCTTTAAAATAGTTAAGATGGTAGATTTTATGTTATGCGTTTTGCCACATAAAACAATTTAATTAAAAGCAAAAAAAAAAAAGAGAACAGAACAACTATTCCCCCCAAAATCCCCCAAAGGGGCGGGGAGGGGGCACCTTCTTCCCCCAAATCCAAGAGATTCGAGGAGGAGCTGCTGGAGATGAAGAAGGGAAACCTTCACTGAAGGTTTCGAGGGGAAATGCTCAGTGGCAGCAAAGAAGACATATGGTAAGATTGATGCCAGCCCAGGGGCCTCAATCGAGGCACAAGTAAGGGTGCCATCAAGTAAGTGCTAATGTCTCATGCTGGGCACAAAGCTGACTCTGCCATCTAGATGATGATGAGGTGTTCTAGAAACACCCCCCCCCCAGCTCCTCTCATTCCCTATCCCTCAAGTCCATGGTTTCCACCTTTACTGTTCCTGTCTTGTCAGAATGTGAAACTGGTAATATAGTAGTTCCTAATTCAGTTCGGTTCGGTGTGGGGCGTAGATCCCTTTGAGAATTTTACAAAAGCTGTAAGTACTCCCCCCCAATAAAACATACACATTAGCCCATTTCTGTACAATTGTGCATATGGATCCCCTTGTTAAGCCTCAAACTGTTAAGATTTCCTCTGATTTTTTTGCACTCCCTCCCTCACACCCGCAGAACTTTCAATCTCAGCTCTTCAGTAACAGTTCTTCCCTTATCTGACACTCAGCTCAGAAATTTACAAAACCGCTGTAGTGATTACAAATGATAATGTCAAGTAGACAGCACTACTTACTTGGGTGCCCCCAGAAGTAGTAGATTTGGTCAATAAAGGCTTTGAGGAGGAAGTATTTTAGGCAGAACCTAATAGATGTATCGGACAAAAAGGTAAATCTTTACAGTATGTAGCATTTTTTTTTCTTTTTTTTGGCCACACCACCCAGCTTTCAGGATCTTAGCTCCCTGACCAGGGATTGAACCTGGGTCCTCAGCAGTGAAAGCGCAGAGTCCTAACAACTGGACCTCCAGGGAATTCCTGAAAGTACGTAGCATTTCAGTGCGGGGGGGAATAAACCAACAAAGGTTAGGGTGGTGACATATAGCTGATTCTTTTTCCTATTTCTTACAAATTTTCATTAATAGGATTATCCTTGACTCAGATCACACACCACATCCATCAGCAAACTTACAATTTGATGGTGGGCTCCACCTTCAATTCCTGCCTAGAATTTGCCCACTTCACCTCCTCTGCTGCCACTTCCCTGGTCCCAGCCTTGAGCTCTTCAGTCTGTTCTGACCCCACAGAAGCCAGAGGGATCTTTTTAAGTCAATCAGAGCATTCCTCTGCTGAAACTCACCAATGGCTTGCTTCCCTCATCACCCCAAATACAAGTCCTCCTTCACTGCAGAGCTGTCCCACATGGCTGCAGCCCCCTCAGGTGCCAGTGGTGGTACAGAGGGGACCAGGACCCACGTCACTATGACAACCAAACGTGCCCCTCCTGACTCCAAAGGTTGCAGTCCTAGCTCCTTCCCTCCCAGCTGTATCACCTTGCTGGGCTTGTTTCTTCATCTAAAAGCAGGGGATGACGATAACAAACTTGAAAAATTCTCATGAGAATTAGAAATATAGCCCTTCTTTGGTTTATGTCCCAACAAACCCATCATAAGTTAAAAATATAAGTCGAAAATGCATGTAATACCCCTAACCTACCAGACATCGTAGCTTAGCCAACTTACACGGGCTCAGAACACTTACATTAGCCTACAGGCGGGCAAAATCATCTAACACAAAGCCTATTTTACAAAAAGTGTCGACTATCTCATGTAATTTTTCGGATACTGTACTGAAATGAAAATGAAGAACAGAGTGGTTGTCTGGGTCCAGACTGGTTTTAAGTGTGTTGATTGTTTATCCTCGTGACTGCGTGCTGATGGGGAGCTGCAGCTCACTGCCACTGCCTCGCATCACGAGCATCATATTGCATTTTGCTGGCCCGGAAAACTATCAAAATTCAAAATTCGAAGTACAGTTTATACTAAATGTGTACCACTTTTGTACCACCATAAAGTCGAAAAATTTTAAGTTGAACCATCATAAGTCAGGGGGACTGTCTACAGATGTCTGGTATCCAGGGCGCAGGGTAAATGGTTGCTAATGATTCTGGTCTAGGAATAAGCAAACTCAATTGCGCCTATTATCTGCACCTGAAGGTTTACACCCTCGTATAACATCCTTTTCCAATGTCTTCTGAATTAGTCTCTCCTATTATCAGGAAGGAAGGTTATGGGCTGGGGCTACAGATCATGCTTCTCTATCCATCCCCCATGGAGCTGGCCCTGAGGGTAGCCTACGCACAGCAGCCTCCATTTGAGGCAGCCCCTCACCCAGCTCCCCTCTTTCAATGTGGGCTGGGAATCAGCGGGCTCCCACATTTCCGCTGTCTGATCCTAGACCAGTTTCTGAACCTCCTGGGCTTTGCTTCCTTATCTGCCAATAGGCGTGCTGACTGAGAGGGCCTGCTCCACAGGGCTGAGCTGAGTAGGAAATGAGAGTATGAGCAACATCCTGAGCCCTGTCCAGGTGGGAAACAGGTGTTCTGCCCTTAGTAGCCATCCCTGGTCTAAAGCCTGGGGCTCTGTGTCCCCACCCTCAGTGCCTTCCCCCTTGACTTTGGAAGCTCGACTCCCTCTTACTGCCTTTGGCTGGCTCCCTCGCCCAGCCAGAGAAGCCCAGCTCACTCAAAGACACAGATTCCCACTCCAGGAAACCAGGACCCCATCCCAACCACTCGGTCCCTGCCCGGTCCAGGCTAGTTCCAACACCCCGAAAGAGGAAGGCAGGGGAATCTGAGCAGAGAGACTGCTCTGTTCCAGATCAGCCTCTGCTGGTGCCCAGGAAGCTGGAATGCTTCTTCTGCAACGGTGACCTTCCCCCACAACCTAAAAGTTCTGTCTTTGGATGGAGCATCGGAAGCTTAGAACCCAGCCTCCATTACTTACTTCTTCAAGAACTGATGTTTCTTTTCTCAGTCACTTTGGCCAGAGAGAGATTATAGAACATCATTTAATTTAAAAAAGTAGGGTAGACAGGAAAGTAGCACAAAAATATAGTGTTGCCGTGGGAGGTCGGTGCTTGCTGCTGAGAAGCTGAAGCCAGAGGAGGCTGTGGATTTGGGGAACAAGTATTCTTTAAAGGAGGGAGAGAGTGGCCTGAAGGGCAGAGAGCCAGGAGACCTTCTTATCTGAGACCCCTAACAACAAGGCTCTGTACACCTGATGCCACACCACACACAACAGTGTGAGGGGATGATACGATGAACTCCGTCCAATAAGCGCGAGCCTGGGCCACGGGCGTTTGTGTGTTAAGTAACTGGAGGACACCAAAGGTCTCCGTCACCCCAGACCTCCCTGAGGAGGCCTCCCTGTGCTGTGAAGCACAGGACTGGCCTGGAATCCACTACGTTGTCACCTTCCTACTGCCAACCTAAGGGGGCCAGTGCCTTTTGGCCCCATTATATGATACTCTCTCCCAGGACCTAATCCACTAGTTTGGTTAAAAATTCCCTCAGCCACACCCTCCTCTTCTGACGAAGGGTTTCCCCGTGTGCGCCTAACGGGTGGCTTTGGGGTCTTCATTTTCTCCGCCGGCTGACACTCTTCAGTTCATCCAGCTCCTTCTCCATTAAGTGGGATTCAGCAGTGGTCTCAGAGAGCTGGAAGTAGAGCAGCAAACCGTTATAAAGAAGGACGTTTCTGGGCTACGTTTCAGGTTGGCAAGGCCAGCCCTGCGCGCTGGGAGAAGCCCCATGGCATTTCCCTTAACGCTGCCGGCAGCCTCCACGACGGGAACCCCTTGGTAACTGGGCAGAAAGTAACCTCCTGATGACCCAGGGCCTCAAGCACTTGAAGAACATTCACCATCCATTCTATCAACATTTTTGATCACCTAGGGTTGCGTGGCACTCACTGCGCGAAGGACACCAGGTTTCAGGGGATGAAAAAGGCAAATATTGGCGATTTTAAGGTTAAAGGACTAAGGTCTAAGTTGCTTCTGAGTCGTGGCTCACATAAAAACGTTTAAAAAAGCATGCCACTTCCCGCATCAGAATCCTTCAGTGGTCTTTAGAGGAGAGGGTGGAAGATACTCCAGGCAGGGACGGAGAGGCACAGACTCCAGAGGTCAGCTTACTGTGAAACAGAGGAGCTGCACTTCCTGAGCAAGACACTATTCCAAGAGCTTTGCTTATATTATTAACTCACTAATGAGGTAGATCCTACTATGGCGCCCATTTTATTGCTGAAGATACTACGTTTCTTACAGATACAGAGCAGTTAAGTAACTTGCCTGAAGTCACACAGCCAGTGGTGGAGCTGGGCCAGGGACCTGGGCAGTTTAGCTCTAGACACCTGCTCTTAACCACTGCAGTGCGTGCTCTGCTGCCTCTCAACCAACCGTCACACACAGCCCTAGGCTCAAAAGGTTGTTGGGTTTTTAAAAGCCACAGGAAACCAATGCCAACGCAGAGTGCCCGTCGGCAGGTCTGCGCAGGGCACTGACTAATGGCTGCGTGGTGCAGGACTTCGCCCAGCCAGGAGCAGGCTGTCCTCCTTCCTGAATGCCTTCATCCCAGCCTCCATTCCCACCTTTATCTTTCCACATTCAGCTCAAATATCCCTTCCCCTGCAACATCCTCCCGACTGGACAGAATGAATCTCTCTCTCCCATGTGTGGATACCAGGCCGTGGAAAGACTTTAATCACTGCCCTTACCATGAGGCACTGTCACTATGTTTACTGTCTATCTCCCCACTAGACTGGGAGCCCTGGAGGGTGGGGACTGTGTCTGATTTGGTTTTGTATCTTTGGATTCACAGCAATGTACCTGAGCAAACTGGCACTCGAGAGGTGTGGGCTGGCTGAAAGGACTCGCAGTGGACCTGCCTAAAGAAAGCCAAGGCTTCCCTCCCCACCACCCTCCTCACCATGTCCAGCAGGATGTCCACCTTCAGCCGCAAGAGATTGTTCTCTTCCTCCAGCTGCTGGTTCCGCCTCCGGAGGCGCTGGGCCTCCCTCCGGTCCACACCTCCACTAACCCCTGTCTCTGGTGGAAGGACACAGGCAGCAGTCACAAGGCGAGGATTCCTTCCACCATCTTGCTGGGCAAAACGGTAGGAAATGCAGCCCACCTGCTATCCACTGGCCGTTTTCAAACTTCAGGCTCTGCCCGGCCAGGTTCATGGTGGGCGTTCCATAGTCAAGGCCCAGCTCCACCTCCCGGGTCGACCGATCCAACTGTGGGGGAGACGCGCATGTTGGCTTCGGGAGGCTGGAGCACAGGGGCTCGAGGCCCAGCACCTCTTCTGCTAACGGTATGATCCCAACAACTCATTTCTTCTCTATAATCATTACCCAGCACATTTAGTAATTGTTTTTAAGTCAGAAAATTAAATAAGGTACCCCCAAAACTTTTAAACTGTAAGAGAGAAGAAACGTACAGCTTTATACCATAGATATTTTCTGGAAAAGCTATATATGCTGAACTTTGTAAACTGAATTATTTCGTATGTACAGGGCACTTAGCAGTTTAAGAAATCCTACTGTAAATTTTGAATAAAGTGAAAAATTCTTTTTAAATGTAATAAGCCCGAGCTATCATTTGTTTCTTATGGAGGTACATGTATGTCCTGGAAAAGGCATAAAATGCTAAGGCCCAAGGAGTAGTAGTAGCTGTTCTTTAATGTGTTTTTCAGTGTTTCTACAGCTCACTGAGCACCCACCCTGCACCAGGACTGGTACTGGATATTCAGAAATGAATGCAACCCCTCTGCCCTCAAGGAGCTCAGAAACTGTCTTTGGAGCTGTGATATATCCTTCTGAATGCTCTTAATGATAGCAAAACATCATCCTTTGAGAATAAATTTGATTCTTAGACATGAGTAAAACTGATTCCTGGACAAGTCTTGGGAGTCAAGTGAAGTCAAATTGGATAACATCATTTGGTCCCCAAAATGATAATGAGGACGACTACCTTTTAAGGTTCTTCAACAAGCTCTGACAATAATTCCCAAAAAGGAGTTTAAAAATATTTTCAGCAATAACAATAATATGAATTAAAAGGATGCCCTCCCACGAGGATACCTCTGGAGGACCACACTTTCCATAAGAAACCAGGCTCGATGCTCCAGTCACGCTGCACACCAGGTCGAGCCCCGTGCTGACACTCACGTTATGCAGGTTGGAGAGAGACGCAGACTTCCGAGGGGGCGTCTTCTTCGGACTGAACGTACTCCCAAAGAGAGGCATCTTTGGCCTGATGAAGGAAAGGTCAATGCTTTCTTCTCCTAGGGTCAGAAAAAGTCAGGGATACAAAGAGTTGGGTCAGTGACCTTGCGCCCCTGTCCCGGAATCATGAAAACACACATCTCATCACGTGGCCATTAACAATCCTGGGTAACGATCCTCAGCTCCCACGTGCCGAGTGCTCACTATGTGCCAGGCATAGTGCCAAAACCTTGGCGCTATCTCAGGCCGCACAGCCACTCTTCGTTTAGTTCCTCTTCCTATACCTATTTGATAGATGAGGTTTACAAAGACGAAGGTCCTAAGTGCGAGTGAGTACTAGAATGCAGGTCTGTGTGGCTCTACAGTTCATGTTAACCTCAGGCAGGTGCCTAACCGGCCTGTCTTAAGCTTTGTCACAGATTGGCATCACCAGATTTACACTCTGGGGCGAGGCATGTGATCCTACTTATTCCTGAACACTGGTAAGACTCACAGCTAGGGCAACAGCTTCTATATACACTCCATTTTCAAGAAATGAAGCCTTTCCTGGGACTTGCCTTTTTGCTTCTTTTTTGCTTTTTTTTTGTGGTACGTGGGCCTCTCACTGTTGTGGCCTCTCCCCTTGCGGGGCACAGGCTCCGGACGCGCAGGCTCAGTGGCCATGGCTCACGGGCCCAGCCGCTCCGCGGCATGTGGGATCTTTCCGGACCGGGGCATGAACCCGCGTCCCCTGCATCGGCAGGCGGACTCCCAACCATTGTGCCACCAGGGAAGCCCCCCCTTTTTTTTTTATTGCTTTCTTTTTAAGTTTTTTTCATTTTTCTTAAAATTTTATTTATTTATATTTGGCTGCATTGGGTCTTTGTTGCTGAGCGCGGGCTTTCTCTAGTTGCAGCGAGAGGGGACTACTCCTTGTTGTGGTGCACGGGCTTCTCATTGCAGTGGCTTCTCTTGTTGTGAAGCACAGGCTCTAGGTGCATGGGCTTCAGTAGCTGTGGCACAAGGGCTCAGCAGTTGTGGCTCACTGGCTCTAGAAAGCAGGCTCAGTAGTTGCAGCACACGGGCTTAGTTGCTCTGCGGCACGTAGGACCTTCCAGGACCAGGGCTCGAACCTGTGTCCCGTGCATTAGCAGGCAGATTCTCAACCACTGCGCCACCAGGGAAGTCCTATTGCTTCCTCTTTGATTAAAGAAGTTCTTAATCTTAACGGGACCTAACTTATCAAAAACTTTTTTTAATGATTAGCGTTTTTGTGTCCTGTTTAAGAAATTTTTGCCTAAGGTCACGATATTTTCATATATTAACTTTTGGAAATTTTCTTCTTGCAGCTTTCACATTTAGGACTATGACTCATCTGCAATTAACTTTTGTATGTGGTGTAGGGCAGGGTCATGGTTCATTTCTTCCCATGTATTATTACCCAATTTTAACGTGTAATACACAAATAGCTTAAAAAGATTCCCTCGGGCTTCCCTGATGGCCCAGTGGTTGAGAGTCCGCCTGCCGATGCAGGGGACACAGGTTCGTGCCCTGGTCTGGGAAGATCCCACGTGCCATGGAGTGGCTGGGCCCGTGAGCCATGGATGCTAAGCCTGTGCGTCCGGAGCCTGTGCTCCACAGCGGGAGAGGCCACAACAGTGAGAGGCCTGTGTACTGCAAAAAAAAAAAAAAGATTCCCTCTAAAAAACTGTAGACTGATGATAACAATAATGAAAGCACAGGTGAGCGAAAAGAAAGAACCACAGCTCTCACTTTTCCTACTCTTAGGTATAAAAATCTTCCTTCACCATATTATGAGATAGAAATAGTAATGAGTTTATCATATCTGACATGAAGTTGGCCAAAAAAAGAGGGAATTTCTCAAGACTATCTGAAACAAGGTTTTATGTCAACTATCATTAAACGATAACTCAAAGTAGGAATTCATCACAATTAGCAAGATATATATTCAATGAGAAAATGAAGAAGAAATTCTGTGCTGTTTTCAGTGATGCAGAAATTAACATCACTAAAATTAATGATAAAAGTTTAGAAGCTTCTTTGGAAGCTTTACAATACATATATACACTGTACAGAAATATATGCATAAACGACTTATAAATAAATAAATAAGACATTTAGAGGTGTCTGCTCATGAGAGTTTTACTGGTGTGTCTTTGTGATTAAAAACAGTGGTACAGGGCTTCCCTGGTGGTGCAGTGGTTGAGAGTCCGCCTGCCGATGCAGGGGACACGGGTTCGTGCCCCGGTCCGGGAAGATCTCACATGCCGCGGACGGGCTGGGCCCATGAGACATGGCCGCTGAGCCTGCGAGTCCAGAGCCTGTGCTCCGCAACGGGAGAGGCCACAAGAGGCCCGCGTACCGCAAAAACAAACAAACAAAGAAAACAGTGGTAGAGAGCCCTGAACCAAGATGGCGGAGTAGAAGGACGTGCTCTCACTGCCTCTTGCAAGAACACCAGAATCACAACTAGCTGCTGGGCAATCATCGACGGGAAGACACTGGAACTCACCAAAAAAGATACCCCACATCCAAAGACAAAGGAGAAGCCACAATGAGACACTAGGAGGGGCGCAATCACAATAAAATCAAATCCCATAACTGCTGGGTGGGTGACTCACAGACTGGAGAACACATGCCACAGAAGTCCACCCACTGGAGTGAAGGCTCTGAGCCCCATGTCAGGCTTCCCAACCTGGGGGTCCGGCAACGGGAGGAGGAATTCCTAGAGAATCAGACGTTGAAGGCTAGTGGGATTTGATTGCAGGACTTCGACAGGACTGGGGGAAACAGAGACTCCACCCTTGGAGGGCACACACAAAGTAGTGTGTGCATCGGGACCCAGGGGAAGGAGCAGTGACCCCAGGGGAGACTGAAGCAGACCTACCTGCTAGTGTTGGAGGGTCTCCTGCAGAGGCTGGGGGTGGCTGTGGCTCACCGTGGGGACAAGGACAGTGGCAACGGAAGTTCTGGGAAGTACTCCTTGGCGTGAGCCCTCCCAGAGTCCACCATTAGCCCACCAAAGAACCCAGGTAGGCTCCAGTGTTGGGTTGCCTCGGGCCAAACAACCAACAGGGAGGGAATCCAGCCCCACCCATCAGCAGTCAATCAGATTAAAGTTTTGCTGAGCTCGGCCCACCAGAGCAACAGTCAGCTCTACCCACCACCAGTCCCTCCCTTCAGGAAACTTGCACAAGCCTCTTAGATAGCCTCATCCACCAGAGGGTAGACAGCAGAAGCAAGAACTACAGGCTTGCAGCCTGTGGAACAAAAAACATATTCACAGATAGACAAGATGAAAAGACAGAGGGGTATGTACCAGATCAAGGAACAAGATAAAACCCCAGAAAAACAACTGAATGAACTGGAGATAGGCAACCTTCCAGAAAAAGAATTCAGAATAACGATAGTAAATATGATCCAGGACCTCGGAAAAAGAATGGAGGCAAAGATCGAGAAGATGCAAGAAATGTTTAACAAAGACCTAGAAGAATTAAAGAACAAACAAACAGAGATGAACAATACAATAACTGAAAGGAAAACTACACTAGAAGGAATCAATAGCAGAATAACTGAGGCAGAAGAACAGATAAGTGACCTGGAAGACAGAATGGTGGAATTCACTGCTGCGGAACAGAATAAAGAAAAAAGAATGAAAAGAAATGAAGACAGTCTAAGAGACCACTGGGACAACCTAAATGCAACAACACTCGTGTTATAGGGGTCCCAGAAGGAGAAGAGAGAGAGAAAGGACCAAAGAAAATATTTGAAGAGGTTATATTCGAAAACTTCCCTAACATGGGAAAGGAAATAGCCACCCAAGTCCAGGAAGTGCAGAGAGTCCCATACAGGATAAACCCAAGGAGAAACACGCCGAGACACATAGTAATCAAATTGGCAAAAATTAAAGACAAAGAAAAACTTACTGAAAGCAGCAAGAGAAAAACGCCAGATAACATACAAGGGAACTCCCATAAAGTTAACAGCTGATTTCTCAGCAGAAACTCTACAAGCCAGAAGGGAGTGGCATGATATACTTAAAGTGATGATAGGGAAGAACCTACAACAAAGATTACTCTACCTGGCAAGGATCTCATTCAGATTCAGTGGAGAAATCAAAAGCTTTACAGACAAGCAGAAGCTAAGAGAATTCAGCACCACCAAACCAGCTCTACAGCAAATGCTAAAGGAACTTCTCTAAGTGGGAAACACAAGAGAAGAAAAGGACCTACAAAAACAAACCCAAAACAATGAAGAAAATGGTCATAGGAACATACATATCGATAATTACCTTAAACGTGAATGGATTAAATGCTCCAACCAAAAGACACAGGCTTGCTGAATGGGTACAAAAACAAGACCCATCTATATGCAGTCTACAAGAGACCCACTTTAGACCTAGGAACACATACAGACTGAAAGTGAGGGGATGGAAAAAGATATTCCATGCAAATAGAAATCAAAAGAAAGCTGGAGTAGCAATACTCATATCAGATAAAATAGACTTTAAAATAAAGAATGTTAGAAGAGACAAGGAAGGACACTACATAATGATCATGGCATTGATCCAAGAAGAAGATAAAACAATTATAAATATATATGCACCCAACATAGGAGCACCTCAATACATAAGGCAACTGCTAACAGCTATAAAAGAGGAAACTGACAGTAACACAATAATAGTGGGGGACTTTAACACCTCACTTATCCTAGTGGACAGATCATCCAAAATGAAAATAAATAAGGAAACAGAAGCTTTAAATGACACATTAGACAAGATAGATTTAATTGATATTTATGGGACATTCCATACAAAAACAGCAGATTACACTTTCTTCTCAAGTGCACACGGAACATTCTCCAGGATAGATCACATCTTGGGTCACAAATCAAGCCTCAGTAAATTTAAGAAAATTGAAATCATATCAAGCATCTTTTCTGACCACAGCGTTATGAGATTAGAAACGAATTACAGGGAAAAAAAGTAAGAAACACAAACACATGGAGGCTAAACAATACGTTACTAAATAAACAAGACATCACTGAAGAAATCAAAGAG